ACAAATCTTTCGAGAAATTTCACATACTACAATGTGACTTATCACATCACCAGTATTATCATTAGTTGTTATCCAGTGACTGACTATTCAGTGTTTTTAGTTCACTATTACAGGAGGCTGATAAATAATCTGAACAGCTTAGTAATCGTCATATCTGACTGCGGAACTGAGTGATACGTGTTTCGATCTCTGTGACAGTATCACTCCTTTGGGGGTTTTACGTGCACCTTGGTCATAAGCGCTAACAAACAGGTGATCTAGGTTTATGACACTGTTGATTGAATCTAACCATCCAGTATGAATTATATGTCTCTATAAATTTCAGTAAGTTGACTTGATATGCCAACATGACTGCTTATCGACCTCTTGAACGACTGATATTCTACCATTTTAAGTGTCACATGTATGGTGAAACTGTCTTTGAAATACGTGAATAGAGTTGTCGATCGAGAACATATGTTTGCCTATGGCACTGATGACCTAATATTTGGATTATCAACTTCTAACTCAGTCGCCACCTACTTCCAATCATCTGAAATCATCTGTGTTTGGTATTGTGGAGTCTCCTAAACGGTAAAAGAACAACCATTAAGTGCTTCACACTTTTCACTGAATGCCTAATAGATTTCAGTTCATTACGAAAATGCTCTTCATAATTCGTATTCTGTAATTAAGAAATAAAACGATGACTGTAGTCTTTGTATCAACTATTCAAGGGTAAAAGTTGTTGATTTACAGGATTGTATCAATGGATGCTGTAATTTATTCATTTTCTTATTAGATACATTAATGTTTTTTCAATTTTGTTGTTCTATAAATAGCATGCTTGCACAAGAATGGGCGGTTTTCAATAGTGTACATTGAAATGTTTGAATTCGACTTTCTACATGGACCTAAAGAAAGACATAAATCTCTGACTAGGGACATTCAATATTACTAACCATACTTAAATGAACGATTTGTTTATTACCCATGCATTTTGTGGGCATATTTTACTCATCTATGAACTTGTGGATGTCAAAACCAGGGTCGGAAAAGCAAGATAGTCTTTCACCAATATGAAATATCAGTGTGAAGATCTACTGCACTCAGCATAAAGTGTGAACAACATCCGGATATTCAACACCAATTCAGTCAAGTCAGTGCTTCTATGTGATGGTTCAGAAACTTGGTGGGTCACGAAAAGCATTTCCAACAAACTACAGAAACTCATCAACAGCTGCCTACACTGGCTCGATACTGAAGACCAGATCAGATCAGATCAGATCAGATCAGGTGAGATCAGGTCAGATGGCCAGAATAATAAGGATAAGCAACAAGGAACTGTGGCCTGGGAATGAACCAACCAACAACCTATCACCCAACAAATATGCAGAAGGAGAAAGTGGAGATGGATTGGGTATACTCTGAGAAGGCCGACAGAGGACATCACGTGCCAGGCCAGGTCAGGCCAGATGCTCGAGTAGAATCCAAAGGGGAGACGACGAGTTGGGTGTCCGAGGTGAGGGTGATATGGAGGAGATGGTATGAGGAAGAAATGAGAGGTTGTGGGCAGTCATGGAGCGAGGTTGGAAAGACTGCAGAGGAGAGAGTGCACTGGAGACATGCTACTGAAGCCCTATGTTCCACTAGGAATCAAAGGGGAAAAAGGAATGATGAACTTGACGTCGAATGGATCCGAAGCTCTGTAAATATGAAGTAGACTTCAAGATAGTCAAAGTACGTTAGTTAGCTAATAACCAATAACATGGTGGAGTGAGTTATTCATGTTCAAAATTGGACCTATGAGAAGTGTTCTCCTCATACACTTTTGGATGTAAGGTATCAAATAATTCAGCGTTTTTAGTCGATTTTTTCTTGATTCACCCCGAAATTTCAGTCGCCTGTTGTCACATATTTTAGAATAGTTTCTTAAAAGTCTTATAATCCCTGAAATCTACCCAAACATCAATGACCATCTAGCTTCTTCATAGTCCATCTATAAAGTTCTCCAGAAGTGCATAAAGAGAAGGTTGCACTAAGTGTAATGTTGAGCATCCCTAGCGAACCCTAAATGAATCAGTGGGGTCGTCAAATGAGCTGGAAATCAATTTAATCACCATAGTGTGTCAGATGTATCAAATCTCATCATTTCAGTACATGATTATTCATATGTCCTCTAAGTGGATGATTTCACTCATTGTTGTCTTACTCCATGCAAACATTTCTTTAAGTTATTTGCAAAATCCCTGCCTATTTGTAGCCACATGTATAACGAGTAGAAAAGGGGTACCTAACACATACTCAGACCAGTAGGCTTTTTGGATTGTAATAGCTAGTTGATAGCAGCAACAGTGGAACGCTCTTGAATTCGGTTTCATGCTAGCCGTCAGTCGTTAATAAGACGTACCGGATATCGTGAGTCAAGTGATAACCCCTCAGAGATGCAAACTCTCACTGAGGAGTATTCAATATAATCTTCCTAATCCTAAGTGCTGACTAAATCGTACGTATCATTTTGCATCGTAGTATCTTTATTAGACGTCCATTCCTTACAGTTTAAACACTAAATTGTGTGTGTGTGTGTGTGTGTGTGTGTGTGTGTGTGACAGGTCTTACGATAAATCTTCTAAAACGCGTTCGAGTCTCAGGCAAGACATCAGTTCCGCTGCCAATACACATCTTGCTGACGAGTACCAACAAGTTCAAAACTTTGGTGAAGTAGAGCTTCTTATCGATTGCCTCCATGCAACTAAAATCTTCGAAAGCCTAATCACTATTACCAACACGTTCCAAGTGCAATACAATACAACACACTAGTTTGGATGTAGATAAAGTCGTTCAATTTTCAACAAATAATTCAGCAACTTTTTATTGAATGTACACCTTGTTATGGACGGTGATGTAGGATGAATAAGTAAATTCTATTCATTGGTGTGTATACAATTATATATAATATATATATATATATATATATAATATTTATATATATATATATATATATGATTACGTAAATCTCTAGTTTAATTTAATCGTAAGTATAAACAATTCTATTGTTATATTCTCAACGGAAATTATTTTCTGCAATCATGACAGAGAATGGACACATGTACGTTGTTTATCATTTCCACTGTGTTTTTCTCATCCTCGAATGGATTACACTTCCATTCGAGCATTTACTCGTACATAAATAAGTTCGTATCGAAAATATCATTCATGTATTAAGAGATAAGAGTGAATTACAATTTCTGATTATAGATAATTTTAACATTGTTTATAATGACCATTAATGTGTACTGTCTTATATAACCTCTAGTGAATAAAATATTGTTGACGTGAATCTACACTACTGCTAATAGTTACTACATTTTATTTCATATATTGGATAATTCGTTTTTCTGTGGCTGTTCGTGTGTCCCTCCCCCCCCCCTCATGTCCGAGTGTGTTACTCCATTGCTTCCTTCTTGAGAGTATGCTAAGGCATTGCCATTTCGTAGATTAATAAACACATCAATCAAAACTTATTTTATGAGGTCAATTATGAAGTAACTTGCTTAATGACATTAGTAGTATAATGGTAATTGTTATTTATTATCTTAATTGTAGTGTAGAAATGTTCACTAGAGAAGAAATTATTACATAAAGTTTTATTTCGAATAATTTAGTTGAAACTTTTCAATCAGAGTTCTTTTTATCCAAGTTTACATTATATCCTCTATATTGTACTTGTAGTCGTGAAGTTTCCCGAAAGCGTTGTTTTCTCTTTGTTACTGATTCTCACTTTTGTGTCAAATTGACTAATTCATATGCCTTAAATCACTGATGGAAACATTTTCTAGGCTTTGACGTACAATTCTTTCAAGAATCTTAAATAGATAATGAATATTTGTTGCTTCAATTTCTCCTCTATAAGATCATTTTTCGTGTTCATTACACAATGCCTTGTAGTTCCTATTTATCTGCCCTTCACCGCCTTTACCCAGACTTTGTTTCTTTGATATGGTGAATTGTGATGATACGAATCGATTAACTTCTATGTCATTATGCATAAACAAGATAACCTTGACAGTTATATGCAATTCTTCAAAAATATTTCCGCATTAGATTTTGAATAATTCTATTACATTACTCAAAGATACGGCTTAGTCAGTAGTCATTAATAACTTCTGTTAAATTTTGAGGGGGTTGTGGAGATTTGGAAATATTTCAAGTTGTTATTCATCGAAGACTGACATCAGTTGGAGGAACAAAGGAAACCTGGGAGCACTGGACAGCTGTTTCGTCCTAGAAGTCGTCGAGAAGTATTCCCGAAGTTCCAATGACAAGTCGTGACCGGTGGAGTCAAAGCCTGATGGCCGTGAGGACAAATACTCAACGATGACATTGGGTGGCGGTTTGCACTATATCGTGAGCTAACAGAAGTTGGAAATATGGAGCATTGGATTCTGACCCAGTGGCTAGCTCAATGGTAACGCGCTGGTCGCGGAACCTGAAGGTAGCGGGTTCGATCCCTGCTGGTGGGGTCGTGGGTGCGCACTGCTGAGGAGTCCCATACTAGGACGAGACAGCTGTCCAGTGCTCCCAGGTTTCCTTTGTTCCTCCAACTGATGTCAGTCTTCGATGAATAACAACTTGAAATAACTTCTGTACTAATATTCCTCTGAAACACACGTCCTGGATTCTTCTGCTAGCCGTAACCAACCAAACTGTCATGATTCCCCTGATTCATTTAAAATTCAGGCATCCATTACCGATTCAGTTGTATAGTTTGTACAAGTTTTTTCAACATGAGTACTCGATGGAAATATAGATAATAATGTAGATGGTTGAATGGTTGTATTTACTCACTGAAATATGTCCAAAATTGTATGACGGATGGGCAATAACTTTTTTCTGTGCTCTAGAAGAATAAACTAGGAAAACGCCTTTCATGAAATTCTATTACCTATTTTGATATTCGATAACTTGTTTTCCTTATTTTGCAAATTCTTACCGTTATGTCTATTGTCCTTTCTTTACAGTCTGGACAATAATAATCCTATACGAGTAAGTTTTGATATTAACAATGTTTATCTATCCATTACTGTATTATTTATTTCCTTTTTGTAGCGAAAAGTCGAGTGACTTTAAAAGCCACCCCAGCAAATGCTGAAATAACCAATCAGGTTTCGGTATCCTCTCTAGAAAGGAAATTTTTCATAAAATAAAGAGACAATTCGTTATCTCAGCATTCAGTGGGGTGACTATTCAAAGAACCGGAGTGACGCCAGAGGCTATTATAACTAACGATTGAAATAACCAATTCCTTATTTCTTTTTCATCAAAAGCAACTACTCTAGTCGAAGGAGAGAAACTTATCTGACCATATCAGTCGTTGCTAAGGTTGCCTTGAGTCTTATTACGCAACAACCCGGAAACTGCTAAAATGACCAGTTACACTTCCTTAAGTCTTGAGAACTTACCTCCACAGCCAAAATTTATTATTATTATTATTTTTCCCTTTGGTTCCTAGTGGAACATAGGGCTTCAGTGGCATGCCTCCATTACACTCTCTCCTCTGCAGTCTTTCCAACCTCGCTCCATGACTGCCCACAACCTCTCATTTCTTCCTCATACCATCTCCTCCATATCACCCTCACCTCGGACGCCAAACTCGTCGTCTCCTCTCTGGCCTGGCACGTGATGTCCTCTGTCGGCCTTCTCAGAGTATGCCCAATCCATCTCCACTTTCTCCTTCTGCATATTTGTTGGGTGATAGGTTGTTGGTTGGTTCATTCCTAGGCCACAGTTCCTTGTTGCTTATCCTTATTATTCTGGCCATCTGATCTGATCTGATCTGATCTGATCTGATCTGGTCTTCAGTATCGAGCCAGTGTAGGCGGCTGTTGACGAGTTTCTGTAGTTTGTTGGAAATGCTTTTCGTGACCCACCAAGTTTCTGAACCATCACATAGAAGCACTGACTTGACTGAATTGGTGTTGAATATCCGGATGTTGTTCACACTTTATGCTGAGTGCAGTAGATCTTCACACTGATATTTCATATTGGTGAAAGACTATCTTGCTTTTCCGATCCTGGTTTTGACATCCACAAGTTCATAGATGAGTAAAATATGCCCACAAAATGCATGGGTAATAAACAAATCGTTCATTTAAGTATGGTTAGTAATATTGAATGTCCCTAGTCAGAGATTTATGTCTTTCTTTAGGTCCATGTAGAAAGTCGAATTCAAACATTTCAATGTACACTATTGAAAACCGCCCATTCTTGTGCAAGCATGCTATTTATAGAACAACAAAATTGAAAAAACATTAATGTATCTAATAAGAAAATGAATAAATTACAGCATCCATTGATACAATCCTGTAAATCAACAACTTTTACCCTTGAATAGTTGATACAAAGACTACAGTCATCGTTTTATTTCTTAATTACAGAATACGAATTATGAAGAGCATTTTCGTAATGAACTGAAATCTATTAGGCATTCAGTGAAAAGTGTGAAGCACTTTCTCCTTCTGCATATTTGTTGGGTGATAGGTTGTTGGTTGGTTCGTTCCCAGGCCACAGTTCCTTGTTGCTTATCCTTATTATTCTGGCCATCTGATCTGATCTCATCTTCAGTATCGAGCACATGCCGTTGTTGATGAATGTGTGCAGTTTGTTGGAAATGCTTTTCGTGACCCACCAAGTTTCTGAACCATCACATAGAAGCACTGACTTGACTGAATTGGTGTTGAAAATCCGGATGTTGTTCACACTTTATGCTGAGTGCAGTAGATCTTCACACTGATATTTCATATTGGTGAAAGACTATCTTGCTTTTCTGATCCTGGTTCTGACATCTTCGTCTGTCTAGGTAGGTGGGTAGGTGAAAGAGACAATTTCCTTTGGGTTTTTCCCGGTAATGATGATTGGTGCTTGTTGTTGGTTGGGTATCTATCTTCATCACCTCCATCTTCTCTACATTCACTTGAAGTTCTGTTTTCGCCGCCTCTTCTCTCAGCTTGTTAGTTTTCGCCTGTAGATCTTCGAGTTTGTGCAACATAAGACAGACATGAATCATCATCATGGGCGAAATCCAAATCTTCTATGCTCTTTTTATCGGTCCAGCCAGCGTATGTCCATCTGTTCGCTCCTCACTGTTTGCTGCATGATCCAGTTGACTACAATCAGGAAGATCATGGGTGAGAGTAGGCAGTCTCGTCTTACTCCTGTCTTCACTTCATTTCAAAGGTATCACTGAGCTATCCATTGTCAATCACTTGACACGTAGCATCATATAGCATATAGCTGTTGTTGAATGAGGTTGATAAAGATTTGTGGCACTCCGTAGTTTTGAAGCAACTGCCAAATTACTTCCAGGTCTACGTTGTCAAAGACCTTTTCAAAGTCGATGAAGTTGAGGTAGAGAGTTGACTGCCATTCTATGGTGATGCGTAGCGTTGCATTTTGATCTGCACATGATTTGTTCTTCCTGAAGACAGCCAGCCAGTTCTGGTCGTACTTTTGAATCCAGTGCATCCATCAGTCTCTCCAGGATGACGTGGCATAATATTTTGCTTGAGGTGGACAGGAGCATGATTCCGCACCATTTCTTGCAAAGGCTTAGGTTTCCCTTCTTTGGGATTTTGACAAGGTAGCCCTTATTCCAATCGCCACCTACCTTTCCTTCCTTCCTTCCTTCCAGACCTTCTGCAGTAGTGGTATTGTGTGAACATGTCCGCTGCTGATGTCCCTGCGTCTCTTTTCAGTGCTTCTGGCGGAATTCCGCCTGGTCCTGCTACTTTCCCGCATTTCAGCAGTTTTATGGCATTCAGGACTTCACTTTTGCTTTTGTCAGGTGGCCTGTGTTCACTGGCAGTTCTGCCGTTACTGGTGGTACTTCCGGACGAGATGCGGTTGGTGGTGGTCGATTCAAGAGCTAATGGAAGTGGTCAGACTATCGTTTCTTTTGTTTCTCTTCTTTCCTAATTAGATTTCCTTCATCATCTTTTATTGGTTTCATCTGTGCTGTTGATGATCTGTTGTTGATCTCTTCCCAGATAGTAACCTGGTTATTTGATATAATGTTGTCAGGTCTCGGTCTCTCCTACGTGCAGCCTGTTCTGCTTCGCTTGCCAATGTGTCGTAGGAATGTCTGTTGTCTTTGCACCCACTCTCCTTCATTTCATTGTCCGTTGTTTTATACGTTGTGCTCATTTCCTCTTCTCGTTGTTCATCCTTGCACTGGTCCATCTTCTGTTTCACCATCCTCCTCTCCCTGCTCTATCAGCTTCCATGTGTCCGTCGAGATCCATTCCTTGTCTTGTCTTATTTATTCTTCCACCCTTATACGGTTATGCAGGTTTCTTTCCACACAGCTTTCAAAGAGTCCCAGTGTTCATCCACACAGGTTTCTTCAGCGATGTTGCTCAACGTCTCCAATTTTGTTCTGATGGTTGACGTGAAGATGTCCTTTGTAGTTTTGTCCTTCACTCCCTGTTCTGGGTGTTGAACTTGAACTGTGGTCTGTCATCTACTTTTTTGAGGACTTTCAGCTTGGTTTTGAGAGTAGGTTCCTTGCACTAGATAGTGGTCTGAGCTCACATCTGCTCCTCTTCTTGACCTTGTGTCCAGTAGGCCGACTGCGTCTCCACTTTCTTGAGATTGAGATGGAATCAATCTGATTTTTAGCGTGTCCATCTGGTTTCTGGTCAAATCCATATCGCTTTGTGAATGTCTTTGTGTTTGTACCACAACCTAAATACCGAACCTAATTGGTTATTTCATCAGTTGCTTGGTGGACCTTGCAAGCCACTCGATAAAGTGGGCTAGAATTCGCTAACAAATAGGATGAACAAGAACTGTGATTGTTAGGGCGACTTCAAAGGCCACCTTGGCAAAGATCAAAACAACCAATTAGATTTCTTTATTTTTGGCAGTAAAGGCCTATTTTACGAAATACGGTAGTTTGATTGGTTATTTCATGTGTTGCTAGGGTGACCTTTAAAGTCAATCCAATTGTAACGTACATGCCTCAAGCCTCATTCACATTATAATTATTTGTATTCAAAGCAGCCTGATCAAAGTAAGACTTAAGTGGGAATCGGTTGTAAGGTTGGTCGTACTGGAGCCGTCTTTAAAGGCCATCCCAGGAACGATCGAAATAACCAATTAGGTCCCTTCATTTCGTCTGGAAAAGCAGATTTTCATAAAATCCGAAGCGTGATTGGTTGTTTCAGTTGTTACTAGGGTGGGCTTTATAGTCGGTCGTGGTACTACTAGCCTTACGACCGATTCTGATTTAAGTCCTACTCTGATCAGGCTAGTCCAGTCATGGTAGCATAGATCAAGGATAACGGACTTTGTTGTTATGATGCTTAATTAGGTGCTTTGTCAGCTATATTTAACCTTCAAACAATTATTTTGACAAGCCTATTGGCCATGCAGGTTCAACCATCACAATTACAGTGGCCTTGAAGGCTGCCATGACAACGACTGCGAATGCCAACTCATCTCTACATTCAATGCTGAAACTAACTTTTGAGGCGAAATTAAAAAAACATAAATAATTGATTCAGTGGTTGTTAGGATGATCTTTGATGTCAGTCTCACAATGGTACGGTGAAATGTATCAACATATTTGACTGGATTTCATGTAATCTCTTCCACTGTCAGTTTACAGGCTTGAATTCATCAATCACCGTTAAAATATGAATTCCTTAGACAGAAGCCTTCATATCATCTGAAGCAAATATAACCAAATTTGATTAATTATTAGTGTCAAGGTGTACAAACAATACGCCCTTCACGCTATCTGACTGATTGGTTGACTAAATCAACGTAGAACTTAGCACACAAGTGTATCGACTGAAGTTGCCACACTGCACAGTAGTAAACAAAGAACAGGTGGATAGAAAAGGAGTGATATCAAAGTAGACAAAGTTGTGTGAGAGAATGCACAATTTGAAGAAAAGATTTAATGCAAATACTCAAGCTTTAGAAAGTGTCAAAGAGTGAATAGGTCTGCGCCATTGTGACCGACTTTCCGGCATATCACTCAGTGTGCTCAACCATTGATTGGTGTCATGTCGAAGACTGCAAGCAAGCAGTCTACATATCCCGACACGACTGAGAACAACAGTAAGATACTCGATCGATTGGTGCCACGTCTTGGTTTGGCGATTATGATCCCCCTCCGAAGCTATTCCGACTTCACCGTATGTGTAACACATCGGTGTGTGATGATGGATGTGTATACGCAAGACATGTGCAAGTCACTTGATGAGTTGATGAAGGTTGACAAAGTCATCAATCGACATGTCTGTTGTGCCTAGTACCCTTCAGCTGACGTGAACATTGGTCATGTGATGTGGTGATTCCAGTGAATGTGAAGATAGCTAGGAAGATAAGTGTGATTGAAACGCTGTAATGAATGGTTTTTTTGTGTGTGATATTTTTGAGGGATTGTAGTGCAGTATACTCGTCCCTTGATAGATAGTTTGATATCTTTTGCAGTGAGTGCCAATATATGATGGAATTTGGCAAATGTGAAATGGGTTTTCTTTATCCGGAGTGTGATTTCGTCAGAAATCAGGATGTTCTTGTTGATGCAATTCTCTGAGTAAGTGAAGTGATCGATATAAAGCACCATTCACTACCTGTCATTGAACTTCACGCTGTCAATGTTTGATCACTTCATTCCGGTAAATGCTCCGTAAAGAATATCATAAATTTTTATCTTAAACGGACACCGCTGGCTAGTAGCGCTAGTCTTTGATTCCATTGCTATACCATACTAAAGATAAGATTAATAATCGCTCTAAAATAAAAACATTTTAATATTAGCATATTGTCAGAGTTCAGTCATTAGTCCAACTGGAGTTTCTTAAGTGGCGAATCTAGATATGATGAGAACTATGCGGGAACCTCACTAGAGTGCTAGCACGTCAAGCTAATGAGTTCCAAATCGAATAGAATGTGCGTCCTGGATTCCATTTAACTCCAACTCAGTGATCAAGCGATAGTATACAAGCTTATGTAAATCTGATGTTTTTAATTTTCATGCAGTGAAAGCCGTCCAAGTTGCATAGTACCGTCCTTTAGTTACTGCCATTGCATAATAAAAACTTACCTCGAAATGACACTCCGTAGATGAACTCAATTAATAACATTCTTCCATCATATAAACTGTCAAATAAGAATAACAACGATGAAAATTCTCTTTTTTTGCAGCTGCATTTTCAGAGCTGTGTGATATGAGGATAATAATAATGATAATTAAGTGGGCTTAGAATCACACCACAACTTGAGTGACCTTAACGGCTTCCAAAGCGGTTACTAAGATAACCAATTCGGTCCTTGATTCTATGCCAATATCGAGGCATCAACGCAGGAGTCCATATGTCAATAGTAGGCCATAAATTCGGTCCAATCAACGACAAGCGCCTTCATGAATGAAATAAATGCCTAATGGTGACTCTCGTGTCATAGTATCCTAGTGGATAACGCTATGGCGTTTGACGTGGTTGGTCTTGAGTTCAAGCACTAGTGGGAACAACATCACTCACTAGGAGGCAGGAGCATCCATCTAAAGAGTCCCGGATAGGACGAAACGTGCTTCCTTGATCCCTCAGGTAGCCACTATCTGTTATTAATAATAATCATTGTTCGGAGACTGCTGACTTAAGTCATGTGACTACCTAAATCTTTAAATTTTCGGTAGTCATATGCATGGATCACGATCAGTCTTTCACAGTTAACGTAATCACTAACACATTTGTTTGTGTGTTCGAAGTTATGTCGAAGTTTACAGTAAGTGGAACTTGTTCAAATTCAGTTATGTTTTGCATATATATGTAGCCATCAAACTGATGGGTCGAATAATTTTTTGTATGAAAAAGGAGTGAATAAAGATCATGTAACGCAAAACTAAATAGTGATTAAGTTATGTGAATAAGAATCAGGTGAGATTTGTTAGTATTTAGATTCATAAAGTATTAAATGAACTTTCTAAGTTAACATCAGATTGTGATAATGTAACAGAATGGTAAGTAAGGAAAATTACTGATCATTACAAGGTCAAAGAATCAAGTTAGATTGAATGTATTGAAAGTGACTTTAGAAAATGTTGCTACCGTTTATGAAATAGATCATACAATGAAGTAGTGTTATTTACTGCATCTTCACAACTCTCAGAGTCCTGTTATCAAGTTACCTGGGGATATGATTGTAGAGTATAAATAGTATCGGAAATCACAACATTTCACTGTGTAATACATCTGAAGAGCTGTAACTTATTCGTCTTGGAAGTTGATTAACAACCAATGGGTCAGGAGGTTTGAACTCAACTTCACCTACTGAAGTTTGGGGAACCAGTAGTAGGTAGCATTAGCCCTCACTTAGTACGTACGACTCATTGCCGACTGTCCGAATATACATGCAGTTACTAAGTGGATTTCCATTTCAATTCGACGTCTGAAAAGCGAACTAAAGCGGACCAATACTCTCCTAGAATAGTCAAATTCTATTTTAATGACACTGAGAATTTTTACAGATTTTAATTGATAGCTTTCTTCTGGGTCGGACAGAGCTAAAGGAAACACATTTATGAATTCAACGTTTTAAATATCCAAGAAGGAACTGGTAAAATTCATTGTTGTAACGTCATTGTATCTCGTCCACTTAATGATAATTTACAATACCGCTATTGTGTGTTTCTTTCTCTTCTGTTTCAGGCTTTCGAGAATGCTTCTGTTTATTTCCTTCATTCAAAACCAGTCGATCAACTGTTGACCAACTCATCTACAATTCATGTGATGAATACTAACAATAGTAATAATGCAGGTTAGTCTTGGGAACGTGATGATTTTCCATAGAATGTTTAGTTTTTCATTACGTCTATTTTTCCATGTATGCTGATCACATTCAGTAGGTTTGAACAATTCAGTTGTCTGAATACACTGTGAGACTGATCGTTTCATTTTTATTAGATCAGTTTTGTTTGACTCAAACGAACTACAGGTTTAGGTCAAACAAAGTCACTTTCTTCAGTTTTCGGGCAACAATGAACGCTGATTCTAATGCTGAAGCTGTAACTCAATGGTAACGTTGAATAGCTCAGGTTGGTCGTTTTTAAGCGATATACATTTCTTGAAGGTTGCAGATATGTACTTATTTGATGGGTGCACAGCTGGTTGAAATATAGACCTACACCTTCTTACTAACTAATATCAAATTATTCACAGTATAGTACACTTTTATCCTGAGTGACTCTACCTAAATACAGCTGGTAGTACCATGAACTGAGCAGCATGGTATTCGCTATCAATGAATACTGTAAATTCCTTTCGACATTATTTCTTACTTCTTCCCTTCCAGGACGTGTTCATCAGTTTCTGAAATATCTTGCTAAGTATTTTGTATACTTCATCTTCAAAGTTGAAAGTCCCTTTGTTCATTAGGAGTTTGATGCTTGGAGTTCGATGGAAAAAATGAATTGTTGCGGGGTTCGAACCAATAGTCTACCGATTATTGCCTCAATATTTTACTGGCTGTGAACTACGTGACCCAATTTCGAACCAAGTCTTAGTTTTGAAGTTTTGATTCTCTACATGAACAAACTTTGGTGTATAACCTATGCATATGGATAACTAGGCAAATATCTCTCAGTGAATGTAGTGTAATATGGCCCTAGTTAGATCAGTTGTTGGAGATCTAGGTTACTTTAACTATAGTTACTATTTCTATATTTCAAGAATGATAGACTAGTCAGTAACCTCAATTTACATTGCCAAACTAGTTTAGAAATGTATGGTAGGGGAGTAAAATCGCTGGTATTTTATCTCTTTGTAGATGGGGCATATGAAAGAAGTAAACTACTGTATGGTCTAGGCATTTCTTCACTCAAGTGTACCATTCTGGTGTCATTTTATTTTTGTCTTCATACAGATTAAAACTTTTGGGTATGTTTGACAATTTGAACCGATGTACTTTTGTCTGACACATCAATTTCCGCCAAAAAATATTTATATGAAGGTTGTATAAAGTAACCATTATTTATCAATATAGAATATGATTTAGTTGATTCTGCTTTACAAAATCCTTACCCACGAAAAAGCATTTCATCTATAATGTGATTCTCTGATTCTTGAATGTGGGTCATCTTTCTTACTAGGAAGACTAGTCTAGGCGCCTTGATTTGTAAGGCATATTTGTTGTCCAGTCTTATCTCTTATGACCGTTTTCTTGCTTCTCAGAATGGTTTGTTTTAATGCACACTATGAAGTATACACAACCCGCCAAAAATGAAAGATTAATAAAGGAAATCCAGGTAATTGAATTCTCTTGCTTTCTCATTAAAGTAGAGAGAGAGAGAGACAGACAGACAGACAGACAGACGGGAATAATGAATGAACCAGACTATCTCTTTAAATAAAAGATATTTTGATTAGTTTTGGTGTGTGATCTAGAGAAACGGAAGCAGAAATTCTCTCCAGTCACTGATCTATTTTATTTGATTCATTCACAAACAGAGGAAAGCCATTTAGAACAAAGTAAATAATGATTCATATGCAATGCTGTTCTGTGTTTTGCTGCATTATGCTATGTTGTGTTATCGTTTGAATAACTGACAATAATGCCATTAGTCACGTGTCTGAAATATCTTATCCACTATCTCATTCTCTGTGCTTATTAGACTTTATGCTATAGTTATCTGCTGGTTTGTTGATGTATGCTTACTATCAATTATTTATCACCTTTATCGCCTTCTTCTTCAGTCTATCTTACCTCTTCTACCCCCCTCGTTCTCTCTCTCTCTCTCTCTAGCTTCGCATCCATCCATGCACAATAAACATTTCTGCACTACTACATCAGAAATGCATTAAGCAGATCTGAATCAAAATCTCGTAAGGGGTTTCAAGTTTCAAGGGAGGGGACATTCAGTCAAACCAGTATTTTGATTGAATTGAAAATATACATTGCAGAATATGACTAACCAAGATATATGTACATAAAAACTTGGCATTAAAAATTTACTTATCACAAAGGCATTCGAATTGGTTCACTGATTTGATTAGTCAGCCTTGGAAATCTCTTTTCCGTAATGTTAAGTCCTGACCCCGTAGAAAAGTGATTTTAGGTTGGTATTCATCATGGACTGACATCAGTTGGAGGAATATTGGACAGCTGTTTCGTCCTAGTGTGGGACTCATCGACAGTGCGCACCCATGATCCCCTTCCCAGGAATCGAACTCATGACCTTCATATCCCGCCGCTAGTACGTTACCATTGGGCCGCTGGACCGGAATCCAGTGGAACATGAAGACAGTTACTCAACGACAGCATTGGATGGAGGCCACGCTATATCGTGAACTGACAGAGGTAGGAAATATGGACCATTGCACTCCAAGTGAGTGGCTTAGTGGTAACGTGCTGGCCTCGGAACATGAAGGCCATGGGTTCGATCCCTGGTGGGGTTGTGTTATGTGTACGCACTGGTGAAGAGTCCCGTACTAGGATGAAACAGCTCACCAGTACTCCGAAGTTTCCCATGTTCCTTCAACTGATACCAACCTGGAATTAATAAATCCCTAAGAAACTTCCAAATTGAGAATTGATTTTTTGTAATTCCCCGCTTAATTAATCGACATTCTTTGGTGTTATGAATTCCTGCTTTGTCGCATGCCCCGATATGTAACTTGGAGTTTTATTGTGAATATGCATTCGTTGATGGATGGATGGTTAGTGGGGTTAGTAAGGTGACCAGACCAGGATGTGTGTTAAGTTACAGATGGATTTCAGTTCAGTTGCTTTAAATGAAAGAATGGTATTATTGTACTGGAAGACTGATTCACAGTAGTCTTATGCAAATGATAACTAGTGTTATTAACACTTTATACTTTCTCATTGTTGACTTGGGGTCAAAGTGACTACTGGGGATCATTTACACATGAGGTCACTGTACAAATGCATTGGGTCCCACTGTGGCGTGTAACTGCTATACTTCGTTAACTTGATGGATGAAATCATTCCTAGTATCTGAGGTAATGAATGTTGGGTGTGATTCTCAGCAGGAACTCAAGGTTACATTTGCTTATATGCATCTGAGATATATCTTAGAGAAGGAGAGAGAGAGAGAGAGATGGATGGTTACTTGTCTGGATCCCACTGTTGTCTACCAGTAAACAAAACGAAGACTCATTAACTTGTATTATTGTTATTATTTACTATGAATGGATGAACGTTTCATCATGAAATAAAGTTTATGACTAAAAGTTGAAAACAATACATGTAGTTATGTGATAGTGGAACACCTAAAAACCATAGTGTTTTATAAAACCGTTTCACTCCACGGAAATTTACACTTGATAAGAAGAGCATTGACGCATCTTATTAGGATGGTTAGAATAAGAAGTGTACACTGCTCAAGTGAATGATCATTGTCACAGAGGGTGACCTTCCCATAGATTTTAACAAGTTTTCTCCATCAAAACCTAATACATTGGTTTTTCTGCCTAGACGTGAGTGAAGGGAACATTACCGGATGCATTTATACTATAGTGTCTAAATTGTTGACCTTTTAACACACACATACACACGCACACACTGAGCAAAACCCAGTTGAGGAGGTGGAGACAGCATTAATAATCAAGTTGGATCATGTTCTCTCTATGCCTAGTGCTGATCAAACTGTTTTCTACCCACAGGCCGGTTTCACATCTGATTGAAGAAGGAAGACATCACTGTATTATATATGATATACACGTACAGCTGACGCGTTCACATGCACAAAGTCACAATGAATTACAAATCTACACTAGTTATGATAATATTTAATGAAGGAAAGTTAATTTCGTCTATTCAACATACTTGATAGTATTTTCAAGACAATAGGAATAAACTTCAGCAATAACAGATAGATCATACAGATGTTGACTTTCTCACATGAACTATCAGTAGTTGAAACGTTGAAACACAATATAATAGTAATGATGACGTATGGGAAGAAGTGTTTTTATAAATCCTAATATTAACCTACCCTTCTTTTTGTATAAAGCATAGCTTTGATAACCCGATTCCCCTGGTGGTTAATAGCGTCACAGTACTGTGAAGCAAAGCGTGGAAGTATCAACACTAGGATGCACATTCGGCCAACTGATGATACAAAACACGTGTTCTAGTTTCAGCTATTGTTAGTCATTAGCGGTTACTCACTGTAGCCTAAGAATTCACTTTATTTGAGAAAACTAATTTGACTACTTGTAGCTATTTATGCCCAGTTCGTTGCGACTATCAATTATATGACGTTGAAGTTTATCAAGAAATACAATAAGGGAAAACGTGGGCACTGTGATATAATATAATTGTATTTTAGTTGTGTGGTACATACAGTGGAATAGTAACATTATTTAGTGGATTAAGTTTCGGACACAATGTATTGTCCATAGTTATATCAGAGGCAACTCCACAACTTTGAGACATGGCTTGCATAAGTTCTGATTTTTTCGCCTCCTTTATGACACAGTTAGAAGGATTTATGCGTATGTCCGGAGCATGTCCTGAATCATTCCTGCTGCATCTATTCACTGCTAATTCGAAAAACAAAGATTCTATGGGCGACTTTGAAGTCTGACCTTAGCAGCGGCCGACATAACCAATTAGGGCTCTTCATTTTGGTAAGAAAAGGAGATTTCCATAAGGTCTTTAAAGCTGGTTGATTCGATTATCGGAGTGACTTTAAGAGTGACTCTAAAGGCCACCCTAGCAAGTGCTGAAATGACCAATCACACCTCGGTATTTTTCCTCGAAAAGCTGTTTCCCATAAAATAGCGGAATATAATTGGCTATTTCATCATTTGCTACGGTGTCCTTTAAAGTCAACCTACTTGCAGTCGATAAGAACACAGCCGCGTGATAGGATGGGAGCGAGACAATCGTTAAAACTAACCTGCGAGGGTGGAAGAAGAGATTGATAACAGAATCTTTGTTGATCGAATCAACACGAAATACACGCAATAAGAATGACTCAGCAGTTATTCCGTATGGTATATGGAACTCCTACTTTACCACAGAGGAGGCGAGGAAATTAGGACTTGAAAGTTGTGGGGTTACTTGATATGAATATAGACGATTAATTGTGTCCAAAACGTTATCCAGTAAGTGGTACTATTCCACCGAAGTTTATTTGAAAATACAGCCTAGTGAAGTTGAATTTCAGTCAGTCAAGTCAAAACTTCTCTACACTTCGTTGTTCAATTGGGTTTCACGACTGAAGTTAACATTTTGTTTACACTACTCAAGTGATTAGTTCAAAAGTAGTTTTCCTCTATATGTCAACTGTTTTTAGATTTAGTAATTGCCTTCCAATGAGTAAGTCAACAGTTAGAACTCTAGTATAATTGTTTTTATATGATACCGTTGTTGATTGAACTGAGTTGATTGGTCTCTTTTGGCATATGGGATCCTGTGCGGATGCCTCGATATTGCCTGCGTTCTAATTATGTTAATCATGGATCGCTCCCGAGTCCGAATTTCGGTGGAAACAACATCACTCTCTGGGAAGCAGGTACATCCAGCTGACGAGTCCCAATTAGGACGAAATGCGCATCCTTGACTCCACTGCTAGCCACGATCCATCATTAACATAGTTAGAACTCTGTTGTATCAACTAGTTGTGTCGTGGTTAGCGTTCACACCTTGACATTTAAAGCGATGGCTACTGGGTTTGAGTCTCAGTGAGAATAACACTACTCATTGGGGTGTGAGTACATTCAGTTGGAGTGGGAGTCCCAAATAGGGCGAAACGTACACCCTGGATACCACGATGAAAACAACATCATGAATCTTATTTCTTCGATAAAGCCAACTCCTCGATATGTCAAACAAATTTATCTGTTTAGTGACTATGATTTATCTGTGTTCTTTCTTATAGTTTACTTTAGATAAAGTGAATGCAAATTTTTGTACTCTGTTTTTTTTTTATCACCGTTTTGGTTGTTTTTGTTGTTGTCATATTGCATGTTGTTTTCAAGCCAAAATATGCATTACATTTATTTCATTACAGAAAATCTTTCTTTTTGCTCGTTTTGACTATGTAAAGAGTAATTTTTCTCTTGTAGTCATATACACATGTCTTAACTTTTCGAGTTAGAGTACACTTCTTTCTGTCTATACACGTATATACGAATAAACAAGGCAGAAATAGACGTACACACATAAGAAATGTATCATCTATGCTTGTGAAGCACACAAGACGTTGATTTTGTTCACCTTTCTCTATTCGATCTATTTCCATAGTGTCTTATATACACTCTGTCCAAGCATACCTTAATTATTTGCTTGCGTTTCATTGATTAATTTTTATACTGGTAGTGTAGATAATATGCTCACTCCTTATCATCTTATCAGTGATTTGTAGCCATCTATCTATCTATCTATCTATCTATCTCTTTTTCGAATACATACATATGCTGAAGTTGTGTGTAACACGTTCACCACTCGTATGTGTGTATATGAGTGCAATACTCATCTCATAAGGTAGGTGCTTCGTGTATAAAACAACGGCAAAAGAAGAGCATAATCATAATTTGAATGAATAAACAACGTAAAGACTACGAAGAAAAAACAGTACTGAACCAAAGTCCATACACATAAATTATTGCTTCAAGTCAATAGCTAACAAGACAAATGAATGAGTAACTAAGTAAATAATATACATGCATATATTTGTACTAAAAAATTATTTAATAATTCATTAAAGTGATTCTGTGAATTACAAATTTCTTACAGATTTATCAAATGGTGTTATGATGAATTTGGAGAGGTCACATCATGCAGACAGTGCAATACATACATCGATTAGCAGTGGTAGTACCGGCAGCAATAACCAGAACAGTGGGATTAGTTGTTGTAGTACGAATATTTCTGGTAATACTAATACTGGAAATGAAGATGCTGATGTCACTATGTGTATATGCCCTGTGTGCGGTTTCTCTGCATCCTCTCCACGTAGACAAGATGAGCATATGGAATTAGTACACGGTGAAATCTACAATGTGACAACAACCATTTCAGCAGCAACAGCAACAGCATCAATCATGACAGTGACTACAGAGAATTCACAGAGTCCTATGTCTCTTCAACCTGTAGCCAACAATATTTGTCAACCAGTTAAATTAGATTGGCCATTAGACAGGAATAATAATGGCAGTAATTCGATTGCTGATTTCTATCAACAACAAAATAATAACAATAGCAGTGATAATGATAATTATCATCATAATCCTTGTAATCCATTCACTCTACAAGCTTCATCGACTCCACAACGAATTAAATTATGGCCAAATACCGATCAGAGCAATCCAATAATATCAATAACTGAACAAATGAATGTAGCTAAAAGCGATAATGATGAAAAAGCGATTGTATATACTTCGAGTGAAATGGTTGGTGACACTATCGCTTCCATTGGTATTACAAGTAACAAAAATAATTACCAACTTCATCACTTGAATAATTCAATGAATCCACCTTTGGAATTCTCTTCAAAACTTAAAACATCACAACCATTGAATACCATCAGTAAGTTGAAGCAGCAATCACCTGTTAAGAGCATCAAATCTAACAGTTCAACAAAAGATAAACAAAAATCTCTATCATTATCATCATCACCTTTATCTTCTACGACGATGACAACAACAGCAACAACAACACCAGCATTCCTAATGAAAACATCTAGATCTAGCGATGATTTCAATCAACCAATTGTCAAGAAAGTCGACTCACGAAGACGTTATCGGTAAGTTGTAATAGTCCTTATGTTGTATGAAGTGTATAAAAATGTTTTAAATGGCAAATTATTAAGTTGAACTGGCAGAAGTAGGAAATGTAGATCACTGAATTCTGACCCCGTGGTAAAGTGCTGAAGGCGGAAGCTGAAGTGTTGTATGTAATGTAGTTGTTTGGGAAACATAACCAACTTAAATCTATCGTATTGCTAATTGTTCATGATCTAGATGCCTGAAAAGCTGAACTTAGATGATTTCAATAAAGCGTGAGATAGCGCACGAACCTTTTCAAGTTAACTTAGTGTCACTTAGTTATGAATTCTGATTATATATCATACAACTTTACTTTTATTCAGTAATACAGTATTCCAATTTGGCGGATTTGTGGGGGTTCAGTTGGCCGGAAGCTGGTAATATGGACCGATGGATTCCAACTCAGTAACTCAAATGTGATGGGTTTGATTCCTTGGGGGAAAGCATGGGTGCGCACTGCTGAGTTCCATACTAGGACGAAACAGCTGTCCAGTGCTCCTAGGTTTTCAATGTTCCTCCAACTGATTTCAGTCTAAGATGAGTACCAACTTGGAATTACAGTATTTATTGACTGGTAATGTGATTGCTTGTAGTATTACACAAGACCCTACAAGCTTTTATTTGCTTTGTTTAGTGAAGATTTGACTCACTGGTTTAGGTATTTGATTTATGATAAGTTAATGAGGAGTTCGTGCCTTGCTTCACCAACATAGGTAGTACCATTAACTCTTGTACCTTGTAGGTGTTCTTTAAAATCGAGGGTTATATTTCATATTAATGATGGATCTTGGCTAGCATGGGAATTCGAGGTGTACGTTTCGTGCTATTTGGGACTCTTCGAAAGGATGTATCTACCTCCCAGTAGATGATATTGGTCCCACTACGACTCGAACCTAGGACCAATCGCTTCAAACGCTGGTCTCAGTGGGAACAGCATCATCCACTGGGAGGCAGATGCATCCATCTGACGAGTTTCAAATAAGACGAAGAGCACGTCCTGGGGTCCACTTGGTTATTCGTAAACAGAGCTTTCAATATCAGTTTAGACATTGTTCTGAATGCTGTTTCAGGTGAAGCTTTGCTATAAGTTCCCCTCATATTCATATGTGCCTTCATATGAGATACTATTATATTTGTGTCATTAATTTGATTGGATTGATTTCCTTAACCCATAAAAGGATGAAACAACTGTCATTCAACTGTTCAAGGTTATCAATAACTTTTAAACTTACATTGAAAAATATTATGAGAGCCCGTGGCATGATAGATTGGTGTTATTCATACACTGCATAATGATTGAAGGTGAGGCAGAAGTCAGTCATGACAGTACTTAAGCCAAGGGGCCTTTTATCACCGCCTACGTATTCGTTTCATCTCCAGTCATCAATTAGTATTAATAACACGCATTAGTAATACAATGAAATGACTCTGGTTGTTTATTATTGTTTATTAGTAGTAGAAATAGTAGTAAACAAATAAACTGAGTTCAAGAATGTACAAGGTAATCTTGACTATTTTAAAAAAAAAACAACTCACGACATGTAAAAAAGCAAAATGAATTGCATTCCATTTCAAAAGATGTAAGCATAAAGTTCATGATTACGAAAATTTATCTACACATTTTGACCTTTGTCAATAACAGGCATAATAAAGATTATCAAATAACTCAAATCGATTTAAAATCCCAAACTAGGAAGAAGTAGTTTTCAGTTTGCCAAATGTTTCTTCTTAGGGTGATTTTCACCAGCATATTCACACGATACTATTTCTAAACTGTTCTGTTTATCTATTTGACAAACCAGTAGTGAGTGGCAATAATAATAGTAATAATACCGACTGAGGTAAGACATTCAGTAGTTGTTTCTTACTATGCGATGAGCACTTTGTATCTCTGAGCTGATCAACATCGATGTCTAGTCTAAGGGATAGGGAGCGAACTATTACATCAAGCCTAATGGATTGGTTTTTTGATGGCGTTTTAGCATGGAAACAAGGTTTATCTGACATTTAGCAATTCTCACCATCCATAGCATCAGCAATTTGTCCTACTGCTTGAAAAAGTATGAGTAAGCAGCTCAGAAATCCACTGTGCCGCACAATGCAGCTACGAAACATGACTGTTAAAGGTAGGGAATGTTAGAGCGTAAACGATTCGTGATTACTAACTTTTTCGTGATGTTCTCGTCGAGTGTAATTAGACTGCAGAGTCAGTAATTTTAATGACAGAGGTATATCACACATTCTACGGCAACTTATTCCATAAATCGAAATATTAGCTAGAATAGGAGTTAGGTTCGAGGTAACCTGAAAGTAGATCACACTCTGATCATTCACTGTTGGTCTACACCATGAAAATCTCTGCATGGATACAAAAGGCTCGGTTGGCTTTTGCCAATTTACGCCCACTATGGCACCACCGTGATATCTATTTGTCTATTAAGGGTCGCGTGTACTGCACAACAGTCCGCTCTGTTCTACTATACGGCTGTGAAACATGGCCATTGAAAGTGGAAGATATGAGAAGGCTTCAGGTGTTTGACCATCGTTGCCTTCGTAGTATAGGACGTATTCCGTGGTGTCACCACATGAGTAATGCAGAAGTCAGGCATAGAGTTTTGGGGAGTAGAGGTAAATCAGTTGACGAGGTTGACGAGGAACCTTCATCGATTGAGATGGTTGGGACACGTACTACGTATGCCCAGTCACTGATTGCCTCATCACACAATGTTGGCTGAGGTGGGTCCAGGCTTTAAAAGGCCCGAGGTGACCAGACTAAAACATGGCACTAATGCATGAAGTCTCTGACTGTTGGTTTGAGCCATGTGCCGCGATGCAGACTAGATGGTTGGGGTCGGCGGGACAAGAAGGAACTAGTGGCTGGAGACTCTAGGTGATATGCTCCAGAACCAATATCAGTGGCGTAGATGTATACACACATTATCCTCATCTTAACTACACTATATCGAATCTCACCATTTTGTCGCTCCTCTTTCCTTTCTTCTCGTACTTTATATTTCTTTTGACTGCATTCACTTATCTTCATCCTTCACCTCACTACCTTTCTACTTGATGAACTGACGCGAGGTGTGGCAACTCGGATGGTTACGCAGTAATGCCTGGTCCTATGTTGATACTGATGATGATGACACCATACGAAGAATCGTAGGTCATCTGACTAGAGTCCTCGATATATCAGACATCGGTATCTGGAATCGAATGATGATAACTCAAAATCAGTTATTACTTTCCGTCAACTTTCAATTACTTGTTCGTTCTTCTCTTCCATCCTACACATGTTTTGTAAATATCTAATTATTTCTGTGGATTTTTGCGTTCTATGCTGTTGTGAAGTGTAGAAGATTGACTTGTTCAACTTTCTCATGCTAGGATCTACGTGTTTTGTTTGCTTCCTCGTTTCTCCACTGTTTAAAGAATCGAGCTCAATGAACATAAATTGGTCTATTTATGGTATTGTATATTCCTTATTGAATCATAGACTGAAGACAGCTTTCTAAGTTTTAGCATATTTTAATCATTCACAATGGAAGCTCAGTGATGCTTTTGAAGTGAAGACAGGAGTGAAACAAGGCTGCCCACTATCACCCATGATATTCCTGATTGTTGTGGACTGGATCATGCAACAAACAGTGAAGAGTGAGAACAGGGGGATACACTGGACCATGGAAAAGAACCTGGAAGACTTGGATTTCACCGATGACTTGTCTGATGTCACACAAACTTGAATATCTACAGGCGAAAACTAACAAGTTGACAGAAGAGGCGAGGCAGGGCAGCGAAGACGAGACTTCAAGTGAATATAGAGAAGACAGAGGTGATGAAGATACCCAACCAACGCCACCACCACCACCACCAAATATGCAAAAGGAAGTGGAGATGGATTGGATTGGGCATGCAGTGAGAAGACCATTCGGGGACATCACGCACAAGGCACTCGAGTGGAAACTTGATGGGAAAAGAAGAGTTGGGCATCTGAGCGGGGGTCACATGGAGAAGATGGTGCGAGGAAGAAATGAAAGCTTGTGGGCTGTCGTGGAGCCAGGTTCAAAAGATTGTAGAGAACAGTGTGGAATGGAGACGTGTTACTGAAGCCCTATGTTCCATTAGGAACCCAAGGGACAAATAATAATACTATTACTAATAATAATATTTTAGTCATATTCAAATGTTTAAATAAAAAAATGGAATTTTTAAAAACCATTTCAGTGTCTTCACAATAAGTCCGAATGCATATCACCTTATTTCTAGCCGTAAATGAAATTACCCAGGAAATATTTCATTTCTGAAATGCTTCGATACATTTGTACCTGTTTATGAAATGAACTTAGATTGATCATGGAGGAAGAGGGGGAGTTGGGAAGATACATATGGCCATCGAGTTGAAGTATCCTCCAGAAAGAGAGTATTTCTAAATTTTTATTTCTTTAAAGTTAAAATGTATGCTCGAGTTATATTTTGAATGTTCCCCTTTTATTTTCCTTATCCATCATCAGGTGTAATATTTGTCCAACAACGTTTCCATGGCATGGTGATCTTACTGAACATTTACGTTCTGTACACGGAATGCAAAAATCTAGAGAAAATGCACGTAATGGTAAAGCTGGAAGCTTTTGTTGTAGTCATTGTAAATATGTAGCAAAATATCAAAGTGAATTAAATCGTCATATGAGATTACACTGGGGTGTAAAACCATTCACTTGTGTTTTCTGTCCATATCGTAGTGCTTGGAAAGGTGATTTAAAGCGTCATATGGAATCTCATCATCGAGAACGTTTCAGTTGTGAAACTGAATTAATTAAAATTATGTCACAGTTTAAAAATAATGCTGGTACACGATCAACTGGTGGATGTAGTTCTTCTAATCTATCCCTTTCACAACTTGATATAACCGCTGAAAGTAGTGATGGAGATAATGTAAGTGAACAGTACAATTGTCTACAGATTGATGATGAAGAAAATCTCCAGACTACTTCATGTGTTACTGTTACTTCTAATAAAAATATTGATATTGAAAACTGGGATAACAGTTCTATGAATAATGATGTAAGAATCAGTCACAATACGAATTCATATTCAGATGAAGAACCTTCTAAGGCTATGTACTCATTGGAAAATGATGATGATGATGATGCTGATGCTGATGCTGCTGCTGCTGATGATGATGATGGTCAAGGTTATATTGAATACTCAAACAAACTGAGTATCACTATGCCTATGACTACTACTAACAGTGGCAATAATAGTAGTGGTAATAGTAACGCGACAACAGTTAGTAGTGTTATCAGTGATCCCGTTGTTAACCCTACCTTTCAAAGTAGTGTCTTCAGAAATCTATCACCTTGTATATCATTAACTCCAGAAAATCGTCTTATATGCGATATTTGTTCTTATCAAGCACAAAATCAAAGTAAATTTAAAAATCATATGGCTAGTCATATGAATTTGAGACAATTTAAATGTCCAGTTTGTGGGCAACGAAGTAATTATAAGTGGGATATTACAAAACATTTAAAGAAACAACATCCTTATTGTATTCAATTACCGATAACGGTAATCAATAATCCTGAGACTATTGACGATCATCATCATATGTTGTTTACATCCACTTCATCAACGTCATTAACGATACCAACTACCATTTTAACATCAACATCTTACTCTGGATGTTCATCATCTTTGTCCATCTCGTGTCCTTCTTCAATATCCTTTTCATCAACATCATTATCGTCATCATGTTTTTCCCGAACACAACCATTCACATCACTCCATTCTCAGATTGTATCATTCATTCCAATAACACAACAACAACAACAACAACCAGTAACGCTATTCTCTCGACCACAAGTGGCAATCTCACAGTCACAAGTGTCATTATCATCATCATCATCTTTATCATCATCCATTTCACCATATTCAAATGGAAGTTTAACCTTGGAAACAGATCATAAAAAGTATTCAAGGTTATCTGAAATTGAAATGATTCAAAATAAAGTGAACACAACCAATAGTCCCTTAAATTTAGTCACTTATCCAACAGGATTGTTTAAACAGTCTTCATTTCACAATATTTCTGGAATAGCAACAGATGAAGATGCTTCATTGAATGATTCCGTACCAATTGATCTTTCAACTGGATGTACTCATAAGAGGAATATTCAAGATGAAATTAAGGTAATTTATGTGTTGTTTTATAAAAAAAAAAATAAAAATACATTAAGAATTTTGTTCAGCGAATGAATTTAATTGTAGAAGAATGACTTTCACAGATTTTATATCGTTTTCATATGTCGTATACGGAGGTAATAATAATTGAAAATTCGAATGAAAACCAGAGTAGTAACTGTAGGATTCAGATCAATACTATATCATTAGTTGATAGGATCTGAGGAATGTGGAATGATTCAGTTCCAACTCAGTAGTTAGATGATAATGTCTTGACTTCGTTCAACTCAATCACTGACCACTGTTTGTTTTTCTTCAATTGTTGTCTAACTGACATCAATCTGTACGGGCTTCATTCATTACTCAGTGAATCGAATGGCATTCAGGCAGTATATGTTATTATCAATTGCAAATGGTAAGGCATACAGATCTTGGTTGTATTGTATTCACTGAGCTGAATTGTATGAACTTCATACTGAAGTTAGTGCTGAAAATGTCGTCTAGAAAGATGATGAAAGCTCCACGAGTAAACAACTCAGCTCAGAGAACACAATACAACCAAGACCATCCACTTAAGCTACAAATATTCTCCACCATTTCAAAAGGTATACAGATCTCCAACTTGTTTTCACTTTCTATATGTTGATAAGGTCGCATAGCAGGTTACATACAGTTTTAACCACATAACGACACTAATATGGATGTGAACTGCTAAACATATTCTATATTGCATAAACTGAACATTCTTAAGTCAGAGAGTATTGATGGAGAATCTCTGACTAAATAGTTCAAAGGACTATCAATTACAATTTTACTCAACTGACTTCTTTTTTATACTTTTCTCCAATTTGGATTGGGATGAGAAGTTCAAGGTGGGCAGCTGGTGTAAATATGATGAACAGATAATAGTGCTTCACGAATTTAAATAGCAGTCAGACAAAATTCTTGGAGGTTGGAGTAGAATTAAGATGAGGCCAGTAGGCGGATTTCACTTGATTGGGCAATGGGCCGATAACTCAGACGTCGTTGGTTCAAATCACACTGTGGCCTAGATATTCACTTCACCATCAGTCATCACATATTATCAATCCTCTAAGCATCTATACAATCTGGCAGATGGAATTAGGGAGTCTGATAAACAACTATGAAAAAGTGTCATTTAATTAATCGAATTAACCTGTTTGTTTACTTTTGAAATGTTTATTTGAACTTTTAGGCGCTAAATATGATGGTTACCATCACGAGAACAAGTCAGTCATGGGAATTATCATTATTATCATTTATCTTCACTAACAGTAATGACAATAACAATAACACATACATATATATACATGTGACAATGTGTTAACATTTTGCTAACACATTTCTTCTTTGGTGTGTTTACTTTTAGATGTTGTCTAATGTTTCTTGTTGTGAATGTCTTAGATTTTTCTAGACAAAACACCACACCATTTTTGTTTTTATTCGCACGAATATCCTTATGTTTGGCGCTGACTAACCAGCACTTTATTCTTACATGCTTGTGCATGACTATATGAATCTGTGAATGTTAATACATAGGCTTTATAGAAATAACTTTACTTAAACTAAGCCTAACTAGAGTCACTTGTTATATTCGAGAGTTTTAGGTGTCAATAGTAATGGGCTTCACTACAGAAAAGCATCTTGAGAAGCAATCTTTCTATCATTATCAACCACTGTTCGTCCGATAACTTAACCTTTGTAGTTAATTAGACATTGAGTTATGTTCTTGGTCGTACATAGAAGATATTCTCAAAACTAGTTTACTACTGATGACGAATACAGAGGAAAGTAGTCACTGAAGTTGAATGGGAACCTGGGTTATGATGTCCTGTTTACCAAGGAGAACCGCCTCAGATATTATATAAACAACTTACAATCATGTGTATACTTCAATTTTAGTCCGAAGTATTATGCTCAGGACTGCATTGTAGAGATAAAGTTCTTATATCAGTTACGATTTGAACTTACAAAAAGACACGATTGCGATTGGAAGGAAGAAAAAATTTTCTTTTCGACGAAATCATTCTCTGAAAATGTAGTAAAAGGGTTAGAACATCCCAGAGTAATTTGTGATCAAAGATCAATATAAATTACGTCAAAAGGAAGGTTGAGTAATGGGGAAATAAAAAAAATGATTACGAAGTAAAAATAAAGATAGTCATGTCATATGTGGGTTATTCGGGGGTGATCTATAATCTACGATGCCCATGGCAAAGATGCACAAAGCGCGACCGAGCCACTCGAAAGGAGTGAGGCTGAGGCAGTTAGGCACAGCCGAAGTATTAGCGAATCAAAAGTTCAAACCACCATTATGCGTTCAGATGGAGTATGTACAACCTCTTTCTTTCCCATGGCCATCGTAGATTATCGTTAACTATTTCCATACTTTTGACATTTAGGGAGAGGCAATTGCATTGAAGGGACTTTCTTTACTTCAAATTTAACTACTAACAAATATCAAGTAGTACGATTATTTTCCGAATTAATATTTCTGATATATCCATGCCGTAATGCATCTCTGAAGTTTAAAATAGATGTATTGGACTGCGAATGTTTTCCGAGTAAAACAGTGAAGTGTGTCTGTATGCAAGATATATGTATATACATGGTTATCTAAGCAGCATGGCACGAGACTTTTAGTAAAGAGTTCTCCAGTTTTTAATAGTGATTTTCTACCTGTTGTGCAAATGGTTGGGAGAGATGCACTATATTTATTTACTTATAAATATTTCGTTTCAGTACGCATGTTAGTTTTAAGTGAATGAACAGTAAAATTAACCTGTATGAAAAACAGAATAAAGATATGTGAATATATATATGTATCCTTTAGTGAATGCATGCTGTCAAATAAATCATAAGGATTTCAACATGATTAATATTTATGCCTTTTTTTTTCTCCCCACATTCTTATATAAACAGAAATCAGTATTGTTTCCGACTACATTGTCGTCACCGTCATCACCAACGTCACTGAAATTCTCTTCTGAAGACTATCGTCATCAGTATCCTATTCCGCTTCCTCCTTCATCGATAGAGTTCAACTCTCCTGTTTATTCGACAGTATCCACTACTTCATCGACACTGTCCAACATGAGATCTAGCTATCCAACTGTCACATATTCCCTTCGGAATACGAGTGATTATAATAGCAACCCATCAATTATGTCACCCTATACCATTGGCTCACTCATATCTGATCCTTTGAAGGGAAATTCATCGTCAACTAATGCTATGAGTCTGTTATTCAATATACAACAACAGGTTTTAATGACTGGCTTACTTCAAACCTGGCAGCAACAACAGCAACAACAACACCTACATGATCAGAAGCACCAAGAATTACAACAAAATGATGTTATTATGCATAGCAACGCATGTGGCACATCATCTTATTCAGATATCGTAATGAATATGACATCTGCACCAATCACAACTATGCTTTCGACAACAGTCTGTTCGACAACTTATACAACAACTGCAAACAGGACAGTAACCACACCAACAGCCACTACAAACACATCTTTTCATAGTTTTTTCAAATCATTAGCTAGTCATCAAACAGCAGCGTTACCTGTAGTTACAGCAGTTGAAAACGACCCTTTTCCTCAGTCTCGACTGAATACAACTCCAGTTATCGAACTTTCAAAGTATGTTAGATCTAATAACAATAATAATAATAATAATACTAATAATACCTACCCATCGAATACTTGGGGAGATTGTGAACTCACTTCAGAATGGTCTGTGCCCATAGAGATGAATTCAAAAAAGTCAGTATCATCATCAAACAATATTCCAGTTCAGGATCAGCAACGTCAACACCATAATCAGCAGCAGCAGCATCAGTTACAAGTGAATCGTTTTTTCACACCAGGAAGGCGAAGAGAATCTCATCGTTTATTACCTCGAAGTGGTGGACGTAAATCAGCGCCAATCACTTCTTCATTCAACCATCATTCAAGTAATACTACTTTTAACACGGTTAATGCAAACACTAGTAATAACAATTCAAAGGAAGAACAATGGAAACGATTCCAATGTTCAGGTTGTGGTCATCGTTCCAACTGGAAATGGGATATTAATAAACATATTAAAGTAAGTTTCTTCAAAGATGAAAATTATTGTACAGTTGACAAGCCTTTATAGAGATTCTCTGATTACTTGATGTGAACTTTCTTTGAAAGAATATCTCTTAACCAATATCAACTTTTCGTGGAAATTATCTGTAGGAGTAAACTTTGACAATATAATAATCATGTTTCCCACAACCTTATAATACTAAGGATTATTTATACTCATCTAGAAGGGAGAACATATTTTGAAACCTAAGAATGATGACCGAAGTTCAGAGAAAACTTGATCTGTAACAGGATCTGTCCTAGTTGACTCAAGGTTACAAGCCCTACTGAAGTACCAGCTACCTATCAGTTTTACTGCTCACGTTTAACTGGATCTCTTATGTACAGTTTTATTTCAATTGAACTTAACGCATTTCATAACTTTAAAGTCTCCTTGTACTGAACTACAGAACTGGGTAAGTGGCGCTTGTAGTGGACGTTGCTGATCAAAATGGATATAAGTAGTATGTGTTGAGAGGATGGCAGAAATCATAGTGAATTACTAGCAGTGGGTAAAGATTCTGCCCAGACAGAGAAATGCTAGAAACAATGTGAACGTATTAAGAGCAAATCGAGATAGAATCAGAATAGGAAATGAAGCGCATTGTGCAAATGACTGTCTGAGTGGAAAGTGTACAGTATTTGATGACTAATGTACATTTTGTTTATGGCAAGTTCTTCCTGCACCTAGTGCGAATACTCTACAAGTGATTAGGTAAGGCTTAGCAGTGAATCAATGACATGTTGACTCAAATACTGGGACTGAATCTTGTTCCACCTATTGTGGTTCAGTTAGCCATCTATTAGTGCATATTAGTTGCTTCCCTTGTAGCACTATTACTTCAATTTAGCATATTGATGGAATAGAAAACTTTGATACCAAGGTCTGCAAATAATGGAAATATAACTTATGAAAGGGATCACTGGGAGTCACTTATTATTATTTTCTGACTTTTCAGGTTGCTCATCCAGAACGAACAAACATTACAACAATCACCTTAGACCTGGAAGATGCAAAGAAAACATATAATGAATATATGAATCGACTGAAGTTATCACGTAGTCGTTATTTGAGTGAATCTATTCCCGATGTGTCAATAAATTCCAACGCATGGATTGGCGGTAGTAATGGTGGTCTACCTGGAACTACTAGTGAAGGCTATTACAGACCATTTAAATGTTCCGTTTGTGGTCACAGGTGGGTTGAATTAATTTTTCTCTGTTATTTATTAAATACATCATTTTTACTTGACTACATACTGAGTGTTTTTGTCCCACCTTTCTGTGTAGAAGTAATTGGAAATGGGATGTTGGCAAGCATATTAAACAAATTCATAATGGGAATGGTGAAGTGCTAACATTGAGTCTTGAAGAAGCCAGAAGAACAATACATCAATACAAAAATCGAAGGCGTCAGCATACACGTCATTCAGATGTGTCGATAAAATTTGAGCCAAGTTTTTACAGTTCCTCTGAGTCAAATTTGAATCTATCACCAGTGTCATCATTAGTTGGTGATGGCACCATCGATCTGCCTGCATTGTCTAATCAAATAGTGAGTAGAAGAGAGAAAGAAGTTAGAAATAACGATACAGATGATGATGATGATGATGAGGATGGAGCTAACAAAAATTCCCTGAAGAATAAACCTTCTTCATCTTCTCCACAGTCTAACCCACTGAATTTGGTTGTAGACAATGCAGAAATAATTGAAGACTTTTCTACAAACACCATTGGAATAATCAAGTTATCGCAGTCATCACATCACCGAATCAACAGAAGATTATCATCTTTTCTGGGAAAAAGATTATGGTTGAAATTTGGATGTAAATTTTGCACAGTCAGGCTACAGTCTTACAGATCTGTTGTATTCCATGCCTGTTTTAGGCATAATCAACAGTTATATGCAAATGGACAGTTAAAAAATCGTTTAAAAAAGTGGCCACTTTATCGATTACATTTTGTTCATGAAAATATCAGACACCAACATCTTATTTCTTATTGTAACCAACCGATGAAATTTCTCAGACGACATTATGACATCATGAATGAAGAAGAAAAAAGCGAGGAAGAAGTTCTCAAAGAATTAAATCCAGTTAATGAAACACAGCATACAACTCTTGAGGTGAGATAGTGATTAATTTACTGCTGATATCAAAATTTAAGTTTCATTACAAGGCGTTTTTTGAATGGTTCAAAATTCGTTTGATTAGAATACTTAATATTTGAATAGGGTTGAATAGTTGGAGGTAATAAATGACAAAAATCTGTCTAATTGATGGATGATATCAACTGAGTAATGAGCGTAGCTAAAGTACTGTTAGTTAGTTGTAAGAAGCCATAGGTCTCATGGTTACTGGCACTCTTCAGCAACCTACTTTCCAGTGACCAATCAGTGTAACCCCAAGACTACTTTGCAGTCGTTTTCAGCTGTACATGTTCGAATACATATCATTTAGTCCTAAGTACCGATCGAGTTCTATCGATCACTTCGCAGTGTGGTCACCAGGCTCAGAGATTCACCATCATGATGCGCTAGAGAGATGTTAGTTGGATGAAGACAGTTAGGAGGAAGCCCTGGACTTATGTTTCATTCCTTTTGACACTCGTCAGCAAGGTGTATCTCCAAGGTCGACGGAATCGATGTCTTGCCTGAGATTCGGACCAGCGTCACTCAGTGCTATGCAGTCAGAGACGTTGCCATCGCGTTATTCAGGTCACGATTAACCTACTCTAGGATTAGATTACATAGAGTATTCTGGATATTAAGGTTATATATGTCAGACAGATGGTAAATGCAAATCAGCGAACCAGTACAGTTTTGTGTACTTAAAGTATGGGTCACACTTACTTAACGCGTATAAAACTGGTTGCTCAAACCAAGGTGGATGGAGTTGAGTTAGAATTCATACTCACCATGAAAGAAAGACACAGAGAACAACCAATCATATAGCATAATTTTGAAACAATTGGTTCCTTATACAAATTTCAACGAAGAAAGAGGATGTAGTTTGTTTGAGTTGTGTAATCTAATTGCGCAACGTATTTCTAACAATCTGATCACACACGTACTTGTCATAGTTATCTATATGGAAGGTTATAAAAATATCATCGGCAGTAGTTTTGCTCGAAATATTACCAAAATTAAATTTGTCATTGTATGTAAATATTCATTACGAATATACTTATACGCCTCAGACTAAATCACTGTATATTGCTCATTGGTAACATACTTAGAGATGGATATCTTGAAGTTCTAATGAGAGCCAGTGACCTGCGGGGTCAACTAGTTGGAAGTTAAGTGGGTAACAACTGAAGATCTTGGTAGATAGTTGCGCTATATCGTGAATTGGCAGAAGTTGGAAACTATGAAGCATCGAACCCAAACCTAGTGGCTTAAACGTCCCAATAACTAAGGCCGCAACAAATTTGAGGATATGTCCGCAAAGCGTTTCACAATTAGGTCTAAAAGGTTTGGAAACGCATCCTGTAACGTGTCTCGATGATATGTTTCTTAATCGAAGACCTTGGACGTCGGTAAACAACATTTATTGGGTGATTCGTTTGGTTTTGAAGCAACTGGGATATGTATATATACTCCAAGATCTTTACTTGTATGGACCAGTGGGTTTTACAAGATACAACCTTACTGTGTTACACAAGCACAACTTATTCTACGTAAATGGACAATATCTAATCCGCACTTTCAGTTTTCATTATGAAATCATTAGTTATTGAATACACACCAAGTATACTACAAGTTAAGTAAGGAACAATATATTTTTAGGGGAATCTCTTCATTCCATTTCCACTCCGTCTTTTTTCTTCCAGCAAAAGTTTGTAAACCTTGTTTGGCTTATATTTTTAGACGATGTCCAATGATCAATGTAACCAGTGTACCATCGAAAAAAGGATACAATTGATAGAAAACAGCAGTAATGCGGAAAGCGAACAAGAAACAGTCAAACCAATGCAAAGAGATGAAAAAAATTTCTCTGAATTTCCTAGTTTTGTCTACCGTAATTCATTAAAATGCGACAGAATTCTAAATAGACATAATCATCCAATTCATCATCAGCATGAATCTCACTTGATAAACTCAAAGTCTAATATATCTCATTTATTTCCAGCTGAGGGTGATCGCCGCCGCCATCATCACCCAAGACCATTTAGAAACTTAGTTTGTTTAAATCAAGCAAACGATAATAGCTCAAAGAATTATTCAAATTTGAATAACAACAGTAATTCAATATTCAATAGATCTAACCAACTTTATCAACAACGTATGATGAACACAAAAATAAAAGTGGTACAATCGTCCAACTATCCAGTTTATTAGATGAAGTATTGAATTTACTGAATAAGTCGAAAACTTTTAAAAATAAAAATGGGAATGGCACTGAAAATATTAAACGAGTTAAACCCAATGAATGTGATGATAATGATGAGATATTGGTTAGCGAGGCGGATGAAGGTAAAAGACATCAACATAATGATGTGATAGCTAATTTAACTGATATAATTCATGAGACTGTTGCAAAAAATGAAAATCTCAATTATTCGGATCAATTAATGTTGATATCATCAATGAATTCTAGCACTAGTTCAAATGAAGAAAATCTTGAAGTTAAACAGGATAGCGACGAGTAAGTTTAATGGTAATTTTTTTGTTATATTCGTGTGTGCAGTTTAGGCTTTTGTCAACTTGATACACCTTTTATTATTTCTGTTTTGGGTAAATCTGTTTATTAAAAGTATGAAGAGTAGTTTCTTCAATAACCTGGAAGTGACTAACCAAAGTTAGACGGGATATTCTTGTAACTATGCCAAAATATAGATGAATTACCGTTCCCGTTACACATAACAAATAACTTTTTATCTTAAATTGTAGTTGAAAATTTAGTATGTATTCGCTTGAACTCAAAGCTTATGACTCATATCTTAACCGAGTGATGATTGAAGGTGAGACGAAAATTTGGACTGCGGCCTGACTCGAACCAGCGACTACCGGCGAATCCGGCCGCGGTCCAAATTTTCATTTCACCTTCAATTATCCATCACTTAGTATAAATACTAGTCTGTCAAACCACAGATATCTCAGATAGTCGAAATGATGATCATAACTTAACGCTTAATTTCTAAGTCTGAAATGGTAGCCCCTCATTGCTTGCATTCTGAGTGTTTATTTCACAGTCAAGTCAGTTGAAAATCGACTTCTCTACTATAATTCTATGGAATGAAATCCAAGTTCATATTGCAACAGATCCCACTGAAAATGATGTTATCTAATAATTGAAAGTACGATTATATTCAACCAATCAGCCTTTTAAACAAAAGCTCTGAACACCATTGTATTTTGTTTTAGCTGAGGAAAGAATTTAGGCAGTATAATTTTGTACTCAATACCAGTAATATCAAACCGGCAAGGCACAGATATTGATATTTTTTATAAAAGAGACTTGTTCATATGACGATTAAAAAAGTCGACAAGTTAACTGGCTGTTGAATATTGAAACTATTTTTCTGAATATTTAAGTCATATAGAAGTGAAGATCAGTTGTCGATGTTTATCGACAGAAAACCTCCTAGAGTGACCTTGCAAATATATCTTAAGAAGAAAAACCGAAACAAATGAGTATCTGTCTTCTGGTAGTAATAATAATAGTAATAATAATTATAGTGATTCATCGCGTAAGGTGTATTTTATTTGTGTTATCTCGGCAAAACCATCTGGTCCGTTGTTGGTTAGGATACGTTCAATAATGATAATGATAATAATAATAATAATAACCCCTTTTCTTGCTGTTATGTTCCTTTAGATCAACCTATAACAGTTCAATAGCTGAAGTTCTAAAACATCCAGACATTGAAAAAAGGCTTCTTCACCTAGCAGATCTACTCCACCAGGTGTCCCATCCACACCAGTGAATTCGCCTTAGTTCCATGACACTGATACTAACAGTGGAGAGAAGACTTCCCTACTGGTGACCGAAGTCACAAATATATATTCTAAGATCATTTATTTTTGCTTTTATCTTTGTTTGAAACAAAAAGAAAGGAGAATTATATGTGTTCAGTATTTGTAAATAGTGAAAAAACGTCGAGCTACTTCTAATTATTTCTATTCTCTTCATTTGCATACAGTTGATTGAAGAACAGATGATTAGATAAAGACCATCATACATACAGACACAAGGATACACTGACAAACTCTGTTTTCTGAAGAGAATAGACACCGATAATTGTGATCTTTCTTGACAAAACTGTCTACTTATTAGAATACTTATTTCTTTCGCTCGTTGTCACTACACAGTTCCCCTTGATTATAAATACTTCATTCACACACACACACACTTCTGGTGAAGCGAGTATCATTTGATACAACTAAGTGAATGACTTTGTACATTCATTTTCAGTCAGTCAGTGCCTTCAATTATTACTATTTATTATTTTTTTCGACTAGTTATTTTTTACAAATCGCCTCTATATTTTATTTTCATGTGAAAAGAAAATCGCTTCACTCGTATAATCTTCAGTTATTTCCTTTTATTTTACGGACAATGTTTTAGCCGGAAACTGAACAGTTACTTCTTTCAGCTGTGACAAAATATATCTAACTAATAAAATATAACTTGTTACTTTTTTTCCTCTGATCTACAAAAATGTCATGTTAAAAGTTATTTTACTTATCAGTAGCATAAATATCTGAGCGAAATAACTATGGTTTGAGGTGAAATGTTTTCCGAGGTCATGTTGCCATGCAACCCGCACCAACACTGATAAATTACACACCATTTTTCAGCTTTTAAGGCAAATGTTAGTTACTTCGTTGTTTGTATTTTATAGGGAGACAATATTTACTTAACTGCATTGCGGGATAAAATAGTACTGAATTCTTTCTGTTTCATGTGTGATGGAATATTTTGTCATAAGAGAATCCACAAAAGGAAGGCTGAGAAAAAAGTATGTTTTGACTAAGATATGTCATCCGCAGAAATATTAAGGGTGAATTAAGTTGCAGAAGAAAAGCCATAATAAAAACCTGCCAACTGTAGTAAACGTGTAACTTGAAAAAAAGGGGAAGATATTTACAGCGGAGCACGGTTGAAATGAGCATTAATCTATTTCTGAATAATTTCAAAGTTTCTAGTGAAAACGAAGACAAATTGCTGAGGCGAAATAAAGGAATTTCAGTATCTTAGACCGAAAAATGATATACTGCAAAGCGATCAGAGTAATCTGGGTCTGCGACTGTCTTTTGACTTCTGTATAAAAAGAATGACCTTACCAGTTCTTGATTGCAATGGTTTGTTGCTTTATATTACATTTATCGTATACCTATTAGTCTATGCTACCTCCTGATAATCTGGTGCTTAGATATTAAAGTAGTAAAGACTTTATGTCTGTCCGGTCAGATATCAGCTTCTGTCTGCATATAATAGATGCATTCACTTTAAGAGGGTTCTTTTACACTTCTTAAGTAGTATGCACGACTAACGTATGATTGCCTAGACCGTTTCTCCTGGCACTTACCATTCGTTGTTTTCAGAGATTCTTGACATAGTCATAAATCGCTCAATACAAGGTTAAGAACTATTTTTGATTTATTAAGAATTGGTTCCTTTTCCAAGCCGAAAAAGTTGTTGAACTTTACTCTTGGACTGGAAAATGCATTCTTTAATATAATTGTAAAAATAAGGTGCTATGGTAGAATATAATTCCATGTTCAGTTTGTTTATTTGATTTTATAACACACATTGATACGGTATTATTTACTTGATGGCGTTTCGAGTATAAATTGTTGCTCACAGTCATATAAATGTTATTACGCTACTTTTGACACCGATTTTTTATAGTCCTATCAACTCATATTCTTTGTTTTATTAGTAGTAAAATTTCCCATATCTCTGGTATATGTGTTGATTTACTCCTATTACAGGAGCCCTATGTTCCATTAGGAACCCAGGGGACAAATAATCAATAATAAAAAGTGAGATGAAGTATCTGGCTAAAAGCTCGGCTATATTTGTGTATGCAATAGAGTAGAGTAGAGTGAAATTACTATGAATAGATTTACCTGGTTTCAGGGAGAGGTTGCCAACCGAATTCCACTACACTGGATTAACATTAAATTCGCATATTAAGATGGTCCAGCACTTGTTCCAGATATAATGAAAAGTATACTACTCATACCCCAAAGGGGACAAAAAGAGATCCATATAAATCCTGTCACAAAATTGTGAAGTTACCTTGATTTGGCTAAAGATAATGGATTGACTCCGAAAAGTAATTCAGTGAACAATACCGTTTCACCCTATCATACATGTGATAGATCAAATGAAGTAGAATCAGTTACAATCTACTATATTGCCAAAGTTTTGATCTTGTATTTATGGTAGTGTAAGAAACGATAAGAATGAGACGCAGTACAGAATGTCTGTTATAACAACTTGTACAGTATTGATGAAAATTGTGCACCTTCCATCAAAATAATCATTTGCATAATGTGTTCCATTTCCTGTTCTGCTCCCATCTCGACTTGTTCTTAATAGACTCACATTGTCTGTTGCGTTTCTCTCGGCAGAATATTTACCCATTGCTGGTAATTTCCTATGATTTCTGCCAACCTCTCAACGCATGCTACTTATGTCCATTCTTATACGTAGCACCCACTACAGTAACACCAAGGTTTACTGTACAGTGAATTATTTTTAGAATAGTAGCCATTGAACTTAACATCCACATTTACAGGATATGGGAATCTGGCCAAAAACACACTGTGCTTCTGCCTGTCTCTGATACCTACAAAAGTGAAGAGTTTATGACTGCACTCCTGAAAGTCTGTGTCGATTTAGTATCCATTTCAAGTAAGATCGTCAGATGGGGTCATTCGTTACTACCCCAAGAAGAAGTTTATTTACAGTCACTGTTGATTCACTGAGAAGGTATGTACTGTTGATGAATATTAGTAGACAGTGAGACGGCTGTACAGGAACACCAATCCCGCCAACTTTCCTATAATAGATATCCCATTAATGTAAATCCCTAATAATTCGGATATTCATAATGAACAGCTGTAACACAAAAGATTTATTCATCAGTAATGAAATGTACATGCTTTGCAAATATATTTTACAGTTCATCCATCAAAAAATAATGTGATGGGATATTCCACTCTAAATTCTTTCTGTTCATCTAAATTCGAAATGAAGTGAAATGGAGTCGTAAGATTAAACTTGAGTTCTTCCTTTGTCTTCTATTAACATCTGAGTAAAACTCATTCGGGAGAAATGACGTGTAACCATTTCTGACATTGAATAGTCAGATAACCTGTGGAAAAAGCAAATAGTGTGGTGACAAATGAATACAGTGAAATCGGTGATTGGCAAGAATTTTGAAATTCTTCATAACTACTCATACTAGTTTGCGTCATACTTGACTTCCTCCTGGATCATCATTGGAAACAGGAATGATTGTCTTGTCAGTGTCTTTACCTCTATGAAAACATGAACTTACCTCTCAGCTATGTGAGACACGGTCAACGAGGATTCGAACAAACATTCGAACAGTTTAGAAGATAACGAAGCAAGCGCTTGAAGTTGCACCACCTTTAGTAATGGTTAGGTAACACGACAAACGGACTGACATAATATATCCAACCGATATGTCTAATGTTTATTGAATTCGGTCTCTTCTAACCAGATTGTGGAATTTAGACTATTTTTTCAACTGGAATAGAAATATGTCAATATGATGGGCTAAACGAGTAGTGCAAGATAACTTAATGACAACATTTTGTCAATTTGAACTACTTCTAGGTAGATGCAATGATTTGCGTGTCCTTCACTACGACATGTCAACAGCCTTTTTAAGAGACATCATCCTGTTCAGATCTGGTTGCTTCCTCTGAGTAGAAATCATGTAGAAGAGAGAGGACTAGTTTAGGGTTTGAAAAAGTAGGTGATAAACTAGAATACTACTAAGAAATATGTGAATCTTAAAGGGGTTGGCCCAAAGATCCACCTATACCGATCCACTTTTATCAGTCGGAACCAGTAAAAGTAAACACCAATACCGTGGTGACATTCATTTCCAGTGATTATCTAGTAGGCCTACTGTTCTCAACGATTAAATGCACAGTAGTGCAGCTACAGCAACGATGAAACCCGAACCTCCGTCGAAACCTTTCTCTCTCTGTGAATATTTAAGTGCAGTGAAGGTACTCGAAGGACAATGATGAAGGTTATCTGACCTTTTCTGTGCACATACAAAAAGACAATACTTAGAAGTGCTGCTGGTCAAAGCAAGATCTTCATGTTCGCAGTTAACTATTTTCTCTAATTTTCAGTCAACAACCAGGATAGCTGTAAACCCACTAACTAACATATAGACAAGTCTCATTTTCAAATAATTCCAATCATTTGTAATTTGGGAGGTAAATCTTAATGTTTAGGAAAAAAATGAGACATTTTTTCAGTAGATTCATGATACAATGAAATCCTCCGTCTATACTGTCACAGTTATCATTCAAATAGGTTTTTGACAGAAATTTTGTTCATTTTACTATGGTGGTGGCTAACCCGTTTATGTACTGATAAGTATTATTAGAACGAACAACATAATCTCATCCCATACCTCCTTTCTAATATTCCAACACAATGAAGTTCATTATGCGTCTATATGTCATGTGCATAACTCTAACAATCAATAATAATTACAAGTCAAGTACAAGTCATCGTGGCATGAGAGTTTACTATCATTTTATAAGCCACACACATTTAGTGTGGCCTACGGTATTACCGTCGACCATAGGCAATAGTAAATGCAGCCGAGTTCGCACTGCTGATCGACCAGTTAGGAGTCAGAGGCATAGGCCTATGAGTCATTTCTACTGAAGGGGATGAAGCATAAAATGATTCTGAGTGAAAACTGGTTGTCTGGTGTCCATGTAATCACTTACCGATCAGACTCACACTAGTATCTTCAGTTCGACATGCATGATACTGACAAACCTCCTTTCACTCCATCATTATTATAACTTAGTAGCTGCTACCAGTCAATTTATAACCAAATCGTGGTTTATGCTGTTTCAGTGGGGTCTCTGAATTATTGACCTGCTGCTTTGAAACACACTACCACTAAGAGTTTTGTTTCAACATTAGTCATCACCACATGAATTACAGATATTCATCAACAACTGCGTACGCTCGTTACTAAAGCTCAGATGGCCAGAAAGAATAAGCACCAAGGAACTCTGGCCGGACAACGAACTAACCAAGAACCCATCGCCCAACAGATATGCAGAAGAAAGTAGAGATGGATTGGGCATACACTGAGAAGACCGTTCGGGGACATCACTCAGCAGGCCCTCAAGTGGAACCCAGATGGGAAACGGCGAGTTGGGCGTTCGAGGGTGATATGGAGGAGATATTGTGAGGAAAAAATGAGAACTTGTGGGCAGTCATGGGGCCAGGTTCAAAGGATTGTAGAGAACAGCGTGGAATGGAGACGTGCTAGTAAGGCCCTATGTTCTACTAGGAACCCAAGAGACAAATAATAATAAACATGGATAATCACAACTAGGTATCGGTAAAAGACTCTATAGTCAGCATAAAAATAGTAAAGAATCACTCATTTATGCAGTGAAGGACAGAATATAAATAGGTAGTAGCATTTTAGATTAATAAGTTCGTCTCTTCAAGGTGTTTGGCGTATCAGTGTGGGTGACGGTATAATTACGAAAAATAAGCCCAATCTCGAGTTAGATTATCAGGACTAGTTTAAGCGTCAGGGTATTTCTCGACGGTTGCATCTACACCGAATACATTAACTATCTGAGATTCACATGTAGTTCACACTTCATTCTTGATCAGTTATTTAATAATAATAATAATAATAATAATAATAATAATAATAATAATAATAATTAGAATAAGTAATTCAGTGAATGACTTCGACCAGGATTATCAGTGATTGTCGAATCAACAGCTGTTTCAGATGAAAACTCCGGTAAAATCAAGAAATCCACACAAACCGTCTTCACAAATGAAATGGAAAAATTATCAATGTCTCAACTAATAGTTTGTTCATGGGGAGTACAGACCTTGCTGACAATTAGAGAGGGACTCGTTTTCTACCCAGCCACACACACTGTTGTGAAGAAGTGATTTAACAACGTCTTGAATTCAAAAAACAGAATGTAGAGGTAAGATTCCCAGTTTATGCACAGAAAGCAATCTACTATTGGGTGAGAAGCATTTGTTATCATGTCGAGTGAATCACTCACTCACTCACTCACTCACTCACTCACTCACTCACTCACTCACTCACTCACTCACTCACTCACTCACTCACTCACTCACTCACTCACTCACTCACTCACTCACTCACTCACTCACTCACTCACTCACTCACTCACTCACTCACTCACTCACTCACTCACTCACTCACTCACTCACTCACTCACTCACCAGTAGACATCACTCCGATAAGCATAATCCTTACAACACATCAATAAGGCCATCACAGATGGCTGGTATTCAGTTCAACAGTCTCTCACCCATTTCCCACAAATGATCCACATTGCAATATAAACAAGTATTTGTGATTATAGTCAAAATGGTGACACTCTCACTGTGAGATTCTCAACACACGTTTTCAGAAATCATGACACGTGAAAAGTGACTGGGACCATCAATAAAATGAAATGTGAGTAATTTTGAAATGCCAGTCTGTTCCACTCACTATATTTCTCCATCAGTGAAATCGGTTCCGACTCCCTCGGAACACCGACCAAGTACACCGGCATTCCAGTCAGAACGATCCAATACCGATTAACATTTCTGTTGGCTTATCTACTAATGACAGAACCGACAGGAACACACAGGCAAGTAAGAAGATAACTGGAATTATCACTGGTAGACGAAGTGGTCTAGGGATTTCAGGTTGGTAGCGACGAAGATACAGCATAGCTGAAAACGACAGGATAGACAGAAATGAACAAGAAATTACTGAAGGCATCAACTCCTGACGTCAAACAACACACTTCACCATGACACACAGTCAGAGTATCAGTTGCATATTACAACTGTCGTGGCATTCTGATCAAAATTTCACTGACTGGAAAGCATTCTCCACCTGACATCATCACTGATTACTTCTTTGGTACATGTATAGCAAGCGTCTCTTCATAATCTGGACAGTCTTTCACTTGTTCAGTTTATCGATATTCAGTTGCATGAGTGTGTTGTCACCTGAGTATAGTGAATGAATCGATTGGTTGAATCGACGACTGATGATTTAGTCAGTTAAATCAGTCAAGTATCCAGTGATCAGAAGTGTTTGCAGTTGGTTTCTCAAAGTGAAACGACCTCAGAAGTGTATCTTCAACGTGAACATGATATCTACAGTCAATCCTGTTGTTTTTGGCTACCAGTATTTGACAGATGAGGTGTTAGACATACTGAAACACATAGGCTGGCTAGTAGTCCTGGTTTCATCTATATATTGGACAGTACTTGTCTTGTTCAGTTGTCATAATAACGGGTTACAATTAGCTCTTCTTACCATTTTAGTCTGTTCATTAGAAATATCACACAGTGAAACAGTATTTTTCATATACTAGATAACGTTTCAGACCTAATTTATTGTCCATATTCATATCAGGTAACTCCACAACTTCGAGACAGACTTTATATATTCCTAATTCTCTCTCCTTCTCTGTGATGACAAGCGTAGTGGAATTTTCCATATATCTGGGACAGGTGCAGCATCATTTCGATTGCATGTGTTTGGTGTTGATTCGATAAACAAAGATTCAGTCGGTTATCAGTCAATCTCTCCCTACCTCCACCCAAGTTGTTAGTTTTCAACACTGTCACCCTATCCCACCCTACTGTGTGATTGTATGTCATCGCATGCAGAGTTATAGCCGAGTTTTTCTCTAGATTTCTTATCTTATTAGGATCTAGTGATCTTGATTTAGCTAAGTTTTTGTGCTCTGTTATTCTAATCGACCCTGGTCGACTGATTACTTTGACCTGTGTATTTGATGTCGCAATCATTGAGGGGATTTGGTAAACAGAATTCTTTTACTCAACTGGATCAATAGGATCTTTTGATCTAGAAAGCTTGTTTCTACAAGATTAGATCTATATAAACCGTGTCTTAGAGTTGTGGAGTTACCTGATATGAATGTAGACAGTAGATTATGTCTAAAACCTTATCCAGTAAATAATACTGTTCCATTGTATGACGATTCTAATAAACAGACTAAAATGGGATTACATTTATTCCTGTTGACTCTTAGAAGCTGTCTGAGAAGGAATAAAGGTAATTAGGTTTGACTAAAGTGCTCAATTTACTTACTTATACTTCATTCAGGCTACAAACCCGTTTAAAATTAGAAATTAAACATAACAAAGGTAGCAGATGACATCATAAAAAACCGAACTTTACAAATGAATAAACTCTTTGCATTACCTTGGCAAACAACAACCAATCCAGATAGAATGATACCAATTAGCGCTAATACTTTGGCTGAAGCAAACACATTTTGAATTGTTATAGCCCAACTAACTTTCATGACATTTACCCATGTCAGAAATGCTAAATACAACATTGAAAATTTAAGAATAAAATACGTAAGCATACGTAAGTGAATTAATAAAGTTTTGAATATGCATGAATGTATAAGCGTTGGTATGAATATAACAGAAATGGACAATTTAACGTGACACAACTGAAACCCAGCCCTCTTAAGATATAGGGAATACTTTTAAATATTTGAGGAAGATGCAATAAGATCCAGTGATACTGCTTCAACCGATATTCGAAATAGTGGGAAAGAAAGCTAAAGTAACACAAGGTGAATCAGCGATCGTTTTTTGTGCTCTCCCCTTTGTTCTACAATATTCAACTTCACTAGCATAGCAAAGAAAAAACTCAATCCTTTTTGTATTTATATATATGATAACTTAAAACGTGAACCATAGTCATAGAAAGTTGGCAGCATTTGCTGCAGACAGAGTACAATTCCCCTGTCCACCCTGTTGACAAACAGAAGGTTTGTTATTGACTTTTCCACCTTATTTGAACATCATTTCTGAATACAGTATTCAGGAAGTGCTAAGTCTTCCAGGGTAAAGAATGCATTGAAGCAGACAATAAATGATGTGGATAGGCGTGACTGAATTCACGATTTTCAATATCTAAATCTTATCTTTCAACTTTGTAGTCCTTGATGTCCTTACGAATTACATTTCTACGTTGAGTATTACATCAAGTGTTTCCTACTAATCAGAAATATTCATACGACTTAGCCTGGTAAAAGTTTTTCGAGCCTTTCAGATCCTTGTGAATGATTAATTCACTTCTAAACATCAACAGTGGAAACTTTCAGTCACTAATAGTAGAATATACACTGAAAAACACGAGATGAACATAGGTAATATGTCAAACGAAGCTCAAGCTTTGGACACAGTATAATTGAGTTCCAGTATAATCAGGTGATAAATTCAAGGTTAGACTAAACGCATATCGTGAACTGCATTGTTAACCAATAATTCTCATTTACACTGTCTAAGGCAGATGTGGCTTGACAGACTTGTATTGATACTGGACCGCGGAGGGATCCAAAACAGAGACGACCATTAATTCACCAACTGGTCATTCCAACGTTTTCATTTGTGTTCGCTTACCTCAATGGTCAACAGGAAAGTGTTCACTAGCAATTATTTCATCAATAATTATCATAAAATCACTTTCAACTTACTGATAGCCAAGACTGAAAGGCTGATAATAAGCATTCTTCGTGGATCACAGCTTGGATAAATTAGATACAATGCATGGTAAGCGAAACTGATAGCGGCTATTGCCATACTTGTTGGTCTGATTATTATAAAATTAACCTGTATGAGAAATTATAAAGGAAGGATAGTGGAAGAATAGTGAAGTTTGATAAAGTAAAAATTATACACTTTTGTTACTGTCAGATGACTTGAACTTCATGTTCATCGTAACTTATCCATCAATCAATCATAAGTGCCCATATCACACTGTATACATGCGCTTTGTTCTAAGTTCTGAGTCAGAGGTTGTTTAACGGTTCAGTTAGACGAGGGGTCATATTGCTTTGACGAAACAGCTGTTGAGTGCTCGCATGATGACAATCATCTTGGAGTTTAGTCAGAGTAAATTCCAGAAATCAGTAGTGAGAAAAGTTAGGGAGTAATCAGCACCTGATGAAGAAACATTTATTGAACAAAGTTAAATTTGTTCTCACCTTTGAGGGGATGGGTTCAGAATTTATGAGTTAATTTGTAAGCCCTGATGAGAAGTTGTCTATTAAGTTGGTAATATGGCTGATAAGTTAAGGGACACAAACTGCAGTACACTTTGTTAATCGTTAAGAGTCAATTAGCGTGTCTACATGTGTCATCAAGGTATTTACTAGTATATATTTTTGAAATGTACATCAGTCAATGCTATAATAATTGGAGTATACGTGTGACTCCCTGGTCTGAGCAGTTAACTTTCAACTAGTAAGTCCTGGATTTGAATCCCACTTCAGATAATATGACAGCGCTTATACAATGGGTGTGATTTGTTGTATAATTCACAGCTCAGTTGGTAGAGCATCGGTCCCTAATCCCAGTGGTTGCTGTTTCGAATCCACCTACGGTCCAAATTTTCATTTCACCTTCAATTATCACCTAGTATAAATACTGATCTTCTAAACAACCTCTATCTCAGATAGTCAAAATGATCATTCACAGATGATTAATTTGTTGCCGATTTGAATCCAGAACATACAATCTGATTGATGAATACCATGCATTCCCTGAAAGATGACAGAAAATCCTGATTTCAAACCAGTTATACACATGCACTCAAGGATCCGGAACACAAGAATAGTAAACGAACCTATTTTTGGTGACCGAGAGCAATAGGAATGCAGCACCTAACGTTCCTCTGCTGTCTCATGTATCAGAATTCAAGTTGAAGACTTGAAGAGTGGTTTCGCAGTAAAACTACCGGCTCCAGTCTTCACATCCAAACACTACCTCAGCCCTTACACAAATTACAGAGCGGTATTTAAAGTGAAGACTTCACAGTATTTGACAAACCCTCTTGCGTAAATTTAAACTTAGGGCATTGAAAAGTGCGTACACAGTCCCCTTTATTATCTTTCCAACATTATCACAATTTTATAGATGAAATGTTTTGTTTCGCTGTTGTCATTTCAAGTTTCTTCTTTGTACCTTTGTTTCACTTAGCAGTAAAATGATAATCAGAATTCTAGTGTATTTGCATGGTTTCGAATTGCTAGACAGCTGTGTTCATAAAGTTTCCTCTAGTGAGATATCTGACAAAGCTATTCTGAAACCACACATAACACTTACATGAAACGATCTCCGGCTTCATAAACTGATGCAAATGGCATGACAAACAGGTTTGATCAAGAAAATAAAAAAGCCTGGCCATTCATGTATGGTGCATCATGAAGATCAACACACAAACCCCCACTCCCACCCCGGTGAATTGGTTCGAATAACACTTCCATGTGTCAGCTGAAGATATGCTTCCTTACCAGTGGTGTGTATTCTGTCAAGTTAAAGGGTTCATTTGGAGTAAAAAGTAACTGACAAGAGAAACAGCGCATCTATTTACATCTTAACACCCTCCAACTGACCGCATCCCAGATGCAGATAACAGTGAGCTCTACCATTAACTAAGTGACCCCCTCAAACAACCGAGCCAGACAGACATATTAATGACAGTTGGAGTTAGGAGTCTAGACTCAGATAAAGTATCTTTAGTTAACCAACAGAAACTTGTCGGTCACACGTTGAGCAGTGGGAATCATCTTCCGTAACTTTATACATATCACAACAAGTTTCTGTCCAGTAACGACTTTAGGCACTGTCATTACCATCGTGGTCCTCAGTGTCCTCTAACAGTCAAACACAAAACAAAGTGGATTTTATCACAACCAACTACCAGTGGACTGGATGTACTCGAGACTGCCACTCTCCAACTACTACCCATTTGAACTGTCATCACTATTTAGTGTATAACAGGTTGATCTTGCATTTGAGTGGTCATCAATATCCCTGTATTCTAGGGCGCCAACCTAGTAATATATGTCACATCCAGTATTACGACTGAGTGGTAAATCGAGCTAGATTAAGAACTATTTGTCGGACCTCGAGAAATTGTAGATGACTGTCGACTACACGGTGAAGACACCACTGAAGTGGTGAGTACAGTTGTGAACATTTTCGAGGGAAGTTCGTTCAGCTGGTAAATCCCAGAACTCAGTGAGTTCCATGTAAATTCTTGCTCCTTGTTAATTAACAAGGAGAATGTTATCTATTAATCACATAAGTGACAATTAATACAGTGCTTACATAAGGGCTGAGAGCCTGATGGTTAGAATGCATAAGTGAGACGGAGGCAGCACATGCATCTGAGGAAATATATAAACTGTTCCAGCTGATCTGAGACACTGGAAACACGAATCCTTGTTTCATTTGAAATGGATCGTGTACCCTTGCACAACCTCTGAAGATGCCTATCATCAGTTTGGGCGAAGTACTTCATAAAGCAGATTGACTGACACAGTGATCCAGATATCTCGTAATAAACGCTCCTTGACCAAAAGTAGGTTAACACCGGCCTAGTTAAAGAAGTGGGGTTCAGAAATAGCTCAATTTACTGAAACACCATAACACATCTGACCCAAACGACATATCACAAGTTAATATTTTAGAGGGTCAAGATGGGATTGGGATGGGTTATCTAAAAGTGTATGACAGACTAAGAGTGTCGCATTTTTGAAAGTTGTTTTATGAACATGTATTGACCATCATTGAAGTGAGAAGTCCCCTGTCACCTGCATGAAAAATATCGTCTGTTTTCATACTCTTAAGGTCTTGCGAAACGCATGAAAGGCTCATTTAGGAAGGACTTGCCATATTGTATTTTATTTTAGACTCATCATTTGAAAATGCGAAAACCGTCATGGATTCCATCATTCACCTCCAGTTTCACGGTTGATGGTGACGTCTTAATGGGCATCACATCCGATCAGAGAATAGGCCAGAACAACATTCATTTAATTACAGAAATGCAACATAAAATTCGTTAGAATAATAGGTGAGGGACAGAGGCGTTAATGTACGCAGCGTGAAATGCATCACAATGAGTTAAGTGTTTCAAATCAAGCCAACTTCAAGAACAAACTATTCTAACATTCTACATCTGTCTTTTCGAAGTTGGGTGATATCATGGAGACTTTCATTAGAAACTGCTTTCGTGCACCAACTGAATGCAATATGCAACAGAATGACACAACTAAACATTTCGTTCTGAATGGGGTTAGTAAGAATGTGTAGTTCCACTACTTAACACCTTTATCGATCAAAATAGTGTATGATAACTAGAAACCTGGAGAAAGAGGTAAAGATGTGAATCTTTCTGTTCAAGTGAAAACATTATCAAGTATGACAAGTTGAAATTTACACGTAATAATAATCTTACCAATAATTGTAGAAATACAGGCAGATTTCCAAATGCCTGTTTAAAATACACACAGTCACCACCACTATAGGTGGCAGAATGAACCCAACATTGAGATAAGACCACAGGCAATCCACACCATAATACACATACCAGGACTTTCCTCGCTTTTCTCCAGTACATCTTTTGGTGTGACAAATATACCAGATCCAATGATTGAACTAACTGTGATGGAAACGGCACTCCATAGGCCTAATTCGCGTTCTAATTCAGCTTTATAATCGTTGATTTTGTTATCACCGTTTTCCTGCTTTGACAGTTTACTTTTTGAAACAGTTAGTTTCTTTTATGAATTTCGATAGCGTAATTAGAAGGCGAAGTTTATCTGAGCAATGTGATGTATTTGCGCAATACATTTCGAACAATCTGATCACACATTTACTTTTCAAGTCAATATATATTAAACCGAGGACTGGTAGGGGGATAAATACAACAATTAACACAATAGGGGATTAAAATTAAGAAAGATGAGGACAAAGAGGAAGTGACATAGTTGGTCCTAATCTTGGTAAGGAAACAAAGTTTACCAAGGTAGGTGTAGTGTAATAACAAACTGTTTTTGTACACATATAGGTGGTTTGAATTTGTGTATGGCTATGGCTTCCACAAATCTCAGAATACGTCCCTGACTGGCTGTTTCTATGTAAGACTTTGAAAGCTGTTTGAGACGTAGGCTGACATCAGCCATTAAGAAAACGTATTACTCAGCGAATCTTACCATTGTGGAGAACAAGATATTCAGCGAAGAGACTCTTTTCAATGAATTTATTTTCAAGCTGTACAATCGTATATATATGATATTTGGAAAAAATTATATCCTGTGAGGAAAACTAAACACTATATGGTGATGACAATAATAGTAGAGCGGATGATGACATAGGCATTTGTGATTATAATAACAATTGAAGTGCGAATGACAACAAATAGATTATGTAATATATGGAATGGTACATAGAGAGTATATAACTCGGAAGGGGGTGAAAAAATTGTTGAAAATGGTAAATCAATTAAGTATTATGTAATGGCATTAGACAAATTGGACAAGATGAAGTCAATGTTTTCTAAAAGGATTAGGACAATCGGGTGAAACAACACCGGAAACTAGTTGCAGTGAAGGCGATTATAATAACAATAATAGTGATAAAGGAAGGATACAAAGGTTAAATTAACAAAGTGGGAGGTGTTTGTTATTGCACTACATCTACCTTGGTGAACTTTATTTTCTTACCAAGATTAGGACCAACTATGTCACTTCTTGTTTGTCCTCATCTTTCTTAATTTTAATCCCCTATTGTGTTAATTGTTGTATTTATCCCCCTACCAGTCCTCGGTTTAATATATATTGACTTGAAAAGTAAATGTGTGATCAGATTGTTCGAAATGTATTGCGCAAATACATCACATTGCTTAGACAAACTTCGTCTTCTAATTATGCTATCGAAAGTTTACTTTTTGAGGAATGCACACAACAAGGGAAAGAAAATGAAAATTGATGACACGATACGACACTAAAATAATGGAAAACAGTTTGCGATAACTGGCTTACTTGTTTACATACCCACGGGAATTTAGTAGAATGATGGAATTAAAATCTCGGAACAACTTAATTCATTCACTGAATTTTGATGATAGATGCCTTTCACTGTGTAGAAAGATGCGCTCTTGTGGTATGTGGAATGTGGCATATGATTGGAGAAATGAATAATCTACATTAGCCATTATGGATATTAACCATTTTACATCCCTCTTCAACGTCAAATGAATGACTTTTTAATACTCATTTTAACCGGTGGGCTAATCATATTACCTACCACTATATCTGGTGAGAGAATTATACTGTTGGTCAGAAAGTGTAGTGCCTAAATCTAACACTCATTCACATTTACTGTCATGGTGTATCTACAGTGGTCATTGATGCAGTTCCAACGGAACGTTTAGTCTTTAGACACTAAACACATTGCACTACATCGTCTTGCTAGACGACATCATCAGCACTAACTTCAGTATGAAGTGAGCTGTCAATATCTCTCCCTGAGTGATTCAGTAGCTTGTCTTGACGAAGTGGTCTGTGATTGGTTGTTTCCTTTGGTCGTTGTACCATTGACTGCATAGATTTTCCTGTTGCCTGTCCCTCTACTTCACCTATGACCTTTCTGTCGTTTATCATTTTCCTCATTGGTTGATAAGTTGGGTTTGTGTCTATACATCTGCTGATTGCTGATTGATCTGAATGCCAAGCTTCTAGGAATTCTCTGACATTCTTTGTGTTTCCTCTCTCCGTCAAAAATGTCTACATTGTCGAAATTCAATTCATGTCCATAGTTGTTATCCACGTGCATTGAAATGAGTGATGAAATGTCGTGTGTGACGTTTAATAGCCAATTGGTGTTCATGTAGACAAAGGCGGAGGTGAAGAGGGTGATCACTTTGTCCAATGTAGTGTGACTACAGTGATTGAAGTTGATTTTGTAAATGATATTCGATTTGTCTTCTTTGGTTGTTACATCCTTTGGTCTGCATAATAGTGTTTGTAGGGAATTTGTTGGTTTATGAGTGGCCACACCAATTCCAAGTGGTTTGCCTCAGTAATCTTGTCATGATTTCTGATATATTCTTTATGTATGGTAGGATGATGAGTTTGTTGATTTCTGTGGATGACTTTGTAGTTGATGATGTACGGGACAGGCATCTTGTGATGAAGTTTCGTTGGTAGCTGTTCTTCTTTAGAGTGGATATCAAGTAATTTTCTTCGTTTCTCTGTGAAATTGTTGTACTGCAGTGTGTTCTCACTCTTTTGAATAGAGTCTGCATGCAACTGATCTTGTGGGTTGTCGGATTGTTGCTAGTGTAGTTGAGGGTGTGGTCAGTGTGTGTTGGCTTCCTGTACACTTGGGTTTCCAGCTTTCCAGCATTTATTCTACTGACTAGAACATCCAGGAATCGTAGTTTGTTGTTTGACTCCTTCTCCATTGTGAATTTGATGTCACTGGAAACGTTGTTGATCAAACTGTGGGAGTTTTCTACGTCAGCTTTTTAAAGATGACAGAAGTGTCGTCCATATGGCGAATCGAGAATTTTGGTTTGATCACAGGTAGGATGATGGCTTCGAGGCTCTGCATCACTGCTTCTGCAATTAATCCGTTAAATTGGCAAGATATAGAAACGGATAAAAGGAACTGCAATGGGATCACCGATATCCAGCTATTAAACGCCATGACATTTCGTCACTCATTTCAATGCACGTGGATAACAACTATGGACATGAATTGAATTTCGACAATGTAGACATTTTTGACGGAGAGAGGAAACACAAAGAATGTCAGAGAATTCCTAGAAGCTTGGCATTCAGATCAATCAGCAATCAGCAGATGTATAGACACAAACCCAACTTATCAACCAATGAGGAAAATGATAAACGACAGAAAGGTCATAGGTGAAGTAGAGGGACAGGCAACAGGAAAATCTATGCAGTCAATGGTACAACGATCAAAGGAAACAACCAATCACAGACCACTTCGTCAAGACAAGCTACTGAATCACTCAGGGAGAGATATTGACAGCTCACTTCATACTGAAGTTAGTGCTGATGATGTCGTCTAGCAGGATGATGAAAGCTTCACAATTAAACAACCCAGCTCAGAGAACATAAGACCAAGAACATCCACCTGAGCTACAAATATTCTCCATTATACCAACATTGCACTGCAATTTTCAGTAAAATGAACTTTATTCATTGAGTTCACACATGGATAGATTTCAGTCTACATTATTAACCAGGATATAATAATAATGACGGTCTGAGAAGTAACTCATATCCACACTACATTTGAAGATTCAACAATATACTCATTGAGAAGTTACTGAAAGGTAGTTGATACCAGGATTTCTATTCAATAGCGCTAATTCAATTCTTCTGATAAACGCTGAAAAGTTGTTGCTAATTTATTTCTGGAAATCAGGCATGGTAATAACCAGCCAATGGCAGAAGATCATGATCCCGTGATTTAACATTCCTACTTTTTTTCTATTTTGACACGGTCGTCATCTAACATGTTGGTTGTGTACGTTAGTTTTATATTTTGGGAGTTGTAACTGAGCTTGCCGATACTGAATATCAGATGAGAGAGCCAGAAAGAATAAGCAGCAAGGAATTGTTGCTGGCTAACGGGCTGGCTGGCTGACTGACTGACTCGCTGGCAACGGAACAACCATCAACCCATCACACAACAAATATGCAGAGGAGGTTAGTGTAGATAAAGTGGATTGGAGTGGACTGGACTGGACATACACTGAGAATACCACCTGCTAACATCACCTGTTAGGTCAGGCCGACGAGTGGAACTCAGAGGGGGAACGACGAGTTGTGTGTCTGAGGTGAGGGTGATATGGAAGAGGTTGTGTGAGGAAGGAATGAAAGCTTGTGTGCAGTTGTGGAGCGAGTTTGATAAGAGTGCAGAGAGGAGAGTGACATGGTGATGTGCTACTGAAGCCCAAAACATTGATGACTCAGCGTAGTACATAAATGCATGTCGACTGGATTCACACACACACACTATACCAATGCTTTCTATGTTTAAACTCGAGTGCATGTTAGAAAATTTAAGAGTGAGTTTTGTCAAAACACTGATATTGACAAGAGGGTAGAACAGCTGAAATAGGCAGAAAATGTATGTCATCTTTGACCGACTAAATGTAAGAATTATATCAATGCAGAATTATCTCATTTCTCTAACCAAATCAAATTTCTTGCTGAATGAAAAATCAGTGTATTGCTGAATCCCGTGAGCTCTTACTAGTAATCAGAATTAGTTCTTTTGTCACCCCAAAAGTCGGTTAATATAGGTATGTTAAGTACTTTATTTTAAAATGATCAAGTGAATATTTAAAGTTGACTTATACTACTTATAAACCTCAAAGTAACGAGTTTTTTTCTTCTAAAATTGACGTGATATACCATCTTTGGTCGTTAGTAAGAAGGTGGTTCATGACAGGACACAGAATACTTCACAAATTTTTAAAAGCTTAGTGTTTACTCCAGGAGATTTTAATACCTGTCACATTAGAAGAGGACTATGCTAAGAGACACTTGCTAGACTGATTTTCAAACAAACAGTGTTGAGCATCAAATACAGTTGTCTTTTTAACGCTAACTAGAATGAAATACTAGCATACGGAATAGATTATTTCACGTCCAGATGATCTCACAAAACTCCGTCAACAATAGCTGGCCACCTGTAAGACTAGTTAGTTAGTTTCACAGTGAATGGATAACACCTGGTACATGTAGTCATTCAAAGCAGTCTTCATAACGGATTAACATCATTTGGAGAACCGTTGAGAATCTGGGAGCAGTGGGTGATTGTCTCGTTCTGGTTAAGGACTCTTCATCATTCCTCACCCATGGTGTTGTAAGAGATGGGACTCATAACCATCAGGTCTCCAGGTGATTGCATTTCCATCCAGCCAGTGGGCTGGAACCTAGTAGCCCGAATTTTCCTACTGCTATCACTTTACGATGAATTACTTCCTCTTCAGTACTGATAATGGAAATAGAAGTAAATTTTCGAAAAAGGATTTGTTTTCAGAACAACCAAACTTAGTGCCTATGCGTTCATGCTAGATGGCTGAAGTCAGTTATGAGGATGATTTGGAACTTAGGCGAATGTTTGCTGACATTACATTTATCCCCAACGAGTAGAATAGTTTAATTAATGATGGATATTATATCTGACATACTTTGAAGCCTAAAACCAACAATAAATGCGGTTCACTGTCCTGTTATTTGATTTTGACCATACGTTCATCAAAATTTTCACACTGTTCCCTACAACTCATCTCAAGTTTAACTTAAATTCTATTGGGTGAATCCTAAGTTGTCACTAATAAGTGGAAAAAGTCTTGGTGGTAGAAGATATCTCTATTCACTCTTTACAACTCAGTATGAAAGTAAACATGACTTATCTACTTTCAGGAGATTTTATCAATCCAAGGAAGTATCTACTTTACAGCATGTAGCAACATTAGTAGGAACTTTGCATCACTAACAAGAACAGATTATTCTAATTCAGTGATAATAGTTATAATGATAATATGTAAATAAACGAAATTGACTCAAGAAAACTTACTTTTTACCCATTTCAGATACCGGTTCTTATGCTCACTATGCTCTCATGAAATATACGGCGCACCAAAACCACAGGTTGCACCTATTCTCCATTTCATATTTTCAAAAAACAAACTTATTTACAGTCTGATGTTATCCATCATGTCTGTCTCATTAATGATCTGTCTCACCTCATTTACCCTCATGTTCATTTGCTTCCACTTGATTGGTTGGTTCTCAAGTCTAATAAGTTTAACACATAACACTTCTGTTGAAAAGTTACTAGCTACTTGTAAGTAGGTAAAATAGCTGAGATAATGGTTTCATTTTCAGGAAACTAGTCTGAATTTTGTCTCAACTACAGGCGGCGGAGGCGACACAGATGGGGACGTCAAAGCCAGCCAGCATCGGAAAGACAACAAGACAGACTCTCCTGAATCATTCTGAAATCAGTGTGCAGATATACTGCACTGCACTGCACTGCACTCGGCATAAGGCGTGAACAACATCCAGATTCCCAACACTAATTCAGTCAAGTAAGTCAGTGCTTCCACGTGATGGTCGAGATATTTGGCACATCACGGAAAGCACTTCCAACAAACTACAGACATCACACATCATCAACAGTTGCCACCTACACTCATTTGATACTGACACTGAAGATGAGATGAGAAGGCCATAATAATAAAGATGAGCAATGGGGAACTCTAGTTGACTGGCTGGCTCGCTGGCTAGCAACGAAACAACCATCAACCCATCACATAACAAATATGCAGAAGAGGATAGTGTAGATGAAGTGGATTGGATTGGGTTGGAGTGGAGTGGAGTGGATTGTTCATACACTGAGAATACCATTTGGGAACATCACGTGTTAGGTCAGGCCGACGAGTGGAACTCAGAGGGGAACGACGAGTTGTGTGTCGGAGGTGAGGGTGATATGGAAGAGGTTGTGTGAGGAAGGAATGAAAGCTTGTGTGCAGTTGTGGAGCGAGTTTGATAAGAGTGCAGAGAGGAGAGTGACATGGTGATGTCCTACTGAATCCCTTTTTTCTACTAGGAAGCTAAAGGACAAATAATAAACAAATAATCTGAATTTCAGCTGGTACAAAGCCATGATAGATGGGTACACTGATTATCACTATTTATTTCATATGGAATGTAGTTAATTCATAAAATATGAAGATATAACTAATCGTTTCAACAGTTACTAGGGTGACCTTCAGAGTCACTGAAGTTCTATGGTTATGGAAATTGTTGTACTGCTCACGGGATTAGGCATTTGAACTCGATATACTCGCTGCACAACTTGATACGATTGGCTCACTGGAATCGAAGGATAACGCACCCAAGATTTGAATCACTAGATATCCAGGATCAAAGTGGTGGCTATGCTACATATATTTACAATTCAGTAATCTAAATATTTCAAAACATGGATGAAATAAAATGATCACACGTATGCCAAAATACAACCAAGCTAAAATAATTATCGTCTGGTAATCAGATAAAAGTATGATCAGTTAAGCGTGATTTGAAGATTACTGAAAAGCCTAAAACTTCTTACTGTTAGGTTTAAGGCCTTCGTTTTATCAACTCAAGTATTTCCGGTAAAGTTTATTGTCTACCCACTTAAGGATCTTATTGTGTTGGTTATCAGAACCACTGAAGTTGAATGTGCTTTTTTTAGCACCCCCAGAAATCTTTTTAAGAAAGTTTCAACAGTGGAACAGATACCTAATCATTTTAGTTAACCAAAAGGAACACTTTTCATCATGTTTAATGAATTTTGACCTGATGTTGGAAAAGTGGAATAGTTATTTAGAGTTTAAACTTTAATTGCAGGAGCTGATTTATTGTCATGCAGTCATTGGTAGTTCATCTGTTTGGAAATATTTCAAGTAGAATTATGTCTGGTTTTCAAGACTTTTGATCCGTAAAAGCTGATCATCTGTGTTGGTTGTAAGTATATAGATTACCGATTAGAAAATGAAGGATAAAACATCGACATATCAGCATATTCTATATTTAATTTGTTTATTTTAGATTGGACATAATGGTACAGTATCATTTGCAGGATAACGTTTCGGATAAAAGTTAGGGCTCAAAATCTTATCATCTGGTCTGGCTTTCATTATCAATGCAACACATATGTCCCAAGAAGATACTTCTCAAACATAGTTAATTTGCCTTCACAGTGACCCTGCTCCTACTCCTTAGTTTTTCTATCATTGACACCGTCATTCAAAGGCAATAATAAGATCTAGTTCCCTATGTGTGTGAATTTAGAAATTTCCATAGTTTGCGTCCGAAAAATATGCAAAAGAATCACCCATCACAGACTTTTGTTCATAAAATAATGCACCACAATGAGACAATTAGTTGGGAATACTGACCATCTGGATTGTTATTTTAAAAATTCTGTTTAACTGGTTAACAAAATAACCACCAAAAATATACAGATGTTTGAGTAGGCAGTGGTTAAATATCTTAAGTTACCATATGAGTGGAGTAACTAAAAACCCAAAAACTACTACTTAAATGAAATGAGTAAAAGAAAATCAAATAATAGGTGGACGAAGAAACACAACGAGACAACAAAGGGAAATATTGGAAAAACAGCATTCAAAAGATTCATAGAGAGAAGGAAACATAATTTAGTGAAAGTATTGTTTAACTAATAGATTCGGCATTCAACTGGCTGACCCAGTTCATGAAACTATGAATCACCGATTACCATACTAATCTGTATCAATTAAAACAAAATATCCGCTTCGACGCCAAGCCATACTACAAAGCACATCAACGTCCTAAGAAAAATATCTGAAAGAGAATGCAAAAATGTAGTCGCAGAAGCAGTCTTAACTGGTACATAAAGAGTCCGAAGCCAAGTACCGATATTGAGTAAAAATTGCTATTTGCACCTGTCAGAAAATAAAATAGATAAGACCATCTCAGCTGTGTATTCAGTGACTAAAGTCTGGCTTAGTCGTTTGCTCTCATTTTATTGTTCAATCATGTGCATCAAAATGCATCTGAAAATCATCTCTGTTAATTTCTACTATCTTTGTCAGTGAAAAACTCTCAAACAAATTGAATTTATATGTCCTGTCCACACATTTTCAGGTTGACTGGAGAATTTCAATGATTTATGGAAACCAGTGCGACCGATCAATCCACCATAAATCTCTTCGGCTCTGTACTCTGGCCTCTTCACTTATGGTGGCTGGTAAGTTGAATATCACACATTATATTGGTGTATCAGTGTGTGCGTGCTTTGCGAAGGAATGTGTCAACAAAACAAGTGTATCCTTCAATTCTAATCAGCAATATTTCGTTAGTGTAAATTAATGAAGGCATGATAACAGTCACATTGAAGTGAATGTGTTGTATTAGTTTGAGCAGTGGTTTATTGATTCGACTGAAGCAATTAAAAGTAGATTTGTGTGCCTTCTACTGTTGGGTGACTGATCAAGTGAAGATGAGAGATGGCATTCTCTACTTTCAACATTGAAATGTTTAGAAGGGAGTGAGGTGAATTGAGAAGGTGATTAGTCACATACCTGATAGTTAGTAATGTGAATCTTGTTTGCCAAGTTTTGCAGACATTGGTGTTTCCATTTGTATACGTGTCTGTCACCGTGTCCACGTCCACGTCCACGTCCACGTCGTATATATATATATATATATATATATATATATATATATATATATATCTTCTTGTGTTAGCATGTGTGTGATTGCATCAGTGACTGAAACATCACATCCCAAAGTGATTACCTGTAGTGTTGTTAGAGGAAACGATAAAACTCCGTATATGTGGAGAGTTATGTACTCATCTAGAGAATGGATATGAAAGGAGTGAGAGTTGTCAGCAGACAAACAAACAGAAAGCATTGTCATTGTGTGAATTTAATTCTTCTCGATATATGCTTCTGTACTAAACATGTCATCCATGTTTCGTTGTATTATTATTATTATTATAATTTGTCAACTGGGTACCTAGTGAAACATAGGGATTCAGTAGGACATCACCATGTCACTCTCCTCTCTGCACTCTTATCAAACTCGCTCCACAACTGCACACAAGCTTTCATTCCTTCCTCACACAACCTCTTCCATATCACCCTCACCTCCGACACACAACTCGTCGTTCCCCCTCTGAGTTCCACTCGTCGGCCTGACCTAACACGTGATGTTCCCAAATGGTATTCTCAGTGTATGAACAATCCACTCCAACCCAATCCAATCCACTTCATCTACACTATCCTCTTCTGCATATTTGTTATGTGATGGGTTGATGGTTGTTTCGTTGCCAGCCAGCGAGTCAGTCAGTCAGTCAGCCAGCCGGCCAGTCTGTTCCGGTCCTAATCCATTTGAATGCAAAGCACCTTTTAGTCTCTCCAGGATGATGTGGCATAATATTTTGCTTGGGTGGATAGAAGCATGATTTCTCGCCAGTTCTTGCAAAGACTTAGGTCCCCCACCTTTGGGAGTTTGACAAGATAGTCATTCTTCCAATCAATCAGCTGTACCTTCCCTTCATTCCTTGCAAACATTCTACAGTAGTGGTGTGATCTAAGCATGTCCTTGCTGATGTCTCTGTGTCTGTTTTCAATGCTTCTAGCGGGATTACATCTGGTCATGATGCTTTCCTGGATTTCAACAGCTTTGTAGTGTTCAGGACATTTGCTTTTAATGGAGGGCTTGTGTTGACTGATAGTTCTGTGGCTGGGCTGCTGGTGGTATTTCCGGTCGAATTGCAGGTGGTGATGGTGGTGGTGGTCGATTCAAGAGTTTTTCGAAGTGGTCAGACCATCGTTTCTCCTCTTTCGTGGTAACTAGCTTTCCTTCACTATCTCTCATCGCTTTCATATGTGTTGATTTCTCCCCTCCCTGATAGATAGTAACCTGGTTATTTGAGATAGTGTTGTCAGGTCTCTGTCTCTCCTACGTGGAGCCTGTTCTGCCTCACTTGCAAGTGTGTGTCGTAGAGGTGTCTTTTGTCTTCCCCTGCACTCTTCTTCACTTCTTTGTCCAGTGAAGTGAATTATGGTTGTGTTCACTTCCCCTTTTCGTTGCTCATCCCTTCAATACACTGCACTGCACTGCAC